ACTACTCCCGGCTGGTGTCTGGGGGGGACCATGTGGTGCAGCAAAGCCTGTGCTGCAGCCCCGAGAGCCGCCACCCCGCCTCAGCCCCACACGCTCGATTTAACTATATTTATACTATCGTGATTTTATTGGGTGCTCAGCAAGACTTTGCTCCTTTGACTGGAATCTTCATGGGCTGGTACTTTGATGTTCTAGAAAGCATTATTAAATCCTGTTCACACGTTTAAAATATTTAAAGGAATCTAATGAAGTTTTCAAGTAAGATAAATTAGGTAATTTAATCTGATGAACAATCAGATGAGCAAAAGGGCTTTTATTTTTACATAAATTACATTATAAATGTATAACAAACAGTGCACCACAACCATAAAGGCTTAAGAAATGGATTTAAAATGAGTCCAGGGGAGGCGGGGGGGGGGGAGCTGGAGCGATAGGACAGCAGGTAGGGCATTTGCCTTGCCTGCAACCCATCTGGGTTCAATTCCCAGCATCCCTGAGCCCTGCCAGGAGTAATTCCTGAGTGCAGAGTGGGAGTAACTCCTGTGCATTGCTAGGTGTGACCAAAACAGAAAAAAAAAGGGGGGGGGGAAATAAAATGAGCCCGGGGGGTGACAGTATAGCGGGTAGGGCGCTTGCCTTGCACGCAGCCAACTCAGGGACTTGGGGGGGGAACATGTGGTGCTGGGGAGGGACCCTGGACCTCAGGCATGCAGCAGCCCCGAGCACTGTCACCCCAGCCCCAGCCCTGCACGCCGTATGGTTCCCAGCCTGCCAGGAGTGATTCCTGAGTGCAGAGTCAGGAGTAAAACCTGAGCATTGCTGGGTGGAACCCCAAAACCAAAATAAAGCAAAAATTTAAATGAGCCCAGGCCTAGAGATAAGATTCAAGTGGTAGATCACAAGCCTCAAGGGAGGCCAACTTTGATTCGAGCCTGCATGCCCCCAACCCAGGCACTGCTGGTACAGTAGCTCAGGTCCCTCAAGGGTGACAGGTGTGTCCCCTATTTTAAAGAGTTGGCTCTTAACAAATGGGAGATTAATGTTTTCATCAGCCTCTGCACGCATGAAAATCATCCCCGAACATTTAGAAGCCGAGTATATTTCTCTGTGGAGTCGGGTGGGGTGGTGTGGGGCAATAGAAAAGTGAACATGCTTATGTTTCAAGGACTCTTGTTTGAGGAAAGGGAAATTGAGGCATGTTAAAATGCTCGCACCAGAGCTGGAGAGATAGTACAGAGGCGTAGGTACCTGCCTTGCGTGTGCTCAATTCAAGTTCCATCTCTGACACCACATAGAGTCCCCCCAGCACAGGAATGATCCCCGGGCACAGAGCTGGGAGTAAGCCCTAAATATCCCTCCGTGTGGCTCGAAACTCAAAAACAAACCGAAATAATTACACCCTGGTTTTGGAAGAACCCTCAAACCATGGTGTCCTTGTTACTTTGCACATAAATAGCTCAGACAAGCCCCTCTGTGTGCATGTCGCCGAAACCCTCTGGCCTCTGAGCACAGGCTCTTGCCTTATCCTCCGGCTGTCACTGTGAAGCCTGGGCCATAGCGTACCCCTCCAGAACATCGATGCAGTGTCACCAGCTGTGGGAAGATCTCTAGGAAACGCTTCTCCAGATACCAACCTCTCTCCCCGTTCCTTCATCGAAGCATCCCCCAGCCTGGCCCCTCTTTCCAGGCCAGCAGACACCCAGAAAGTCATGCAACTATTTCCAGAACCAGGGGGTCCCCCTAGAACAGTGGTCCGGGACTCTGCCTGGCACTCTTAGCTGAGGGGCTTTGTGTTCAGGCTTCTCTGTCGGACGTTCTGCAACCAAATCTCCCAGCTGACACCTATAAGGACAAATATTCTAGAAGATGGATGTGTTCCAGCACTCTCCCAGGGAAGGGGATGATGAGCACAAAGGGGCCAATGTGGAAATGGCTCATTGTGAGTTTGCTCTCTGCTGGCCACTGCTCCAGCCTAAGTCCCCACACCAGCTTCCATCATACTGCGCTGCCCGGCCGGCATGGCTGCAACCCAGGTCACCATCCACAGCAGTGCAGCCGTCACGCGACCAACAAAGACTCCTCATAGCCCCGTACTCGGAGGAAAAGTGTCTCCAGAAGGAGAGAAAAGGAAACGGTAGAAGCTAGAGCCTGGGGAAATGACCTGGGGATGGAATGTGTTTTTTTTTTTTTGTTTTTTTGTCACACCAAGCAATGCTCAAGGGTTACTCCTGGCTCTGTGCTCAGGAATTACTCCTGGCAGTGCTCGGGAGACCATATGGGATGCCAGGGATTGTTCGTGGGTTGGCTGCGTGCAAAGCAAATGCCCTACCCACTGTACTATCGCTCCAGTCCCTGAATGTGCTTTTATTTATTCACTCTGACTACGGAGGCCACTGGGGGATAGGCTGGGGATCCCTTGAAGGCTGCCCTCCTAGGCATGAACTCTAGCACTTGACCTGTCTCCCAGTCCTGGGGCGGGGTGACTTATTAAAATGCTTCAGAGGGTCAGACAGAGAGTACAGAGGCTATAGCGCATAGCTTGCAGGCAGTGAGCACCCCCCCTTTTTTTTTTTTTGCTTTTTGGGTCATACCTGGCGATGCACAGGGGTGGGTTACTCCTGGCTCTGCACTCAGGAATTACTCCTGGTGGTGCTTGAGGGGCAATATGGGATTATGGGATGCTGGGAACAGAACCCAGGTCGGCCACATGCAAGGCGGCCTACCTGCTGTGCTAGATCTCTCAAGCCCTCCCCCCCCCTCGCCCCTTGATCCCAGCACCATATGGTCCCCAGAGCATTGCTGAATCCAGCCCGGCCCCCCCCCCCCCCACTGAGGACTGAAGTGCTCCTGGGGTAGCCCTGAAGAATCCCAGACCTGTAGAGCCTGAGCACAAGCACCTCAGCCCAGCCATGGATTGCTAACAGGGATCCCCAGGACCTCCTGAGCACTGCTTGGGAGACCACATGCCACCCTCACACCCCCACCACTGGCATCACCAAAAATTACGACTGAACCCCAGAAGCTATTAGGTTCAGTGAAATAGCACAAGGGGAACAGGAAAATGCTCAGCAGGTGTGAAGCTTGGGGCTCAAGGGCAGGAGCCAGAGTACAGAGGGTGAGAAGCTTGCCTTGCATGCGACCCACCTGGGTTCCGTACCTGACATACCATATGGTCCCCTAGCACCACCAAGAGTAATTCCTGAGTGCAGAACCAGGAGTAACATCTGAGCATCTCCAGGTATGATGCTCCCCAAGAAAAAGTTTGATTTTAATCCCAAGCACGACTGGGTGCAGCCCTGGTTGATCCCCAAGCACCACCAAAACCATCAGGTCTTCATTCAGCATTGCTTGGGGTGGTCTTGGAACCCCCAGTATTGCTGGATGTGACTTCTGTTGAAAAAGGTTTCTGACTCTGCAAGGCTAGGTTGAACCTCACTTTTCAGCAGGATCTTTGGAAGGCTGCAAAGCTGCTGATGGGGGTACACACGGCACGGGGAGTGACATGGCCCCTTAAATAACTCAGTGTGGGGCAAAAGAGATAGTACAGTGGGTAGAGCACTTGTTTTGCACAGGGCCGACCCACGTTCAATCCCCGGCATCCCACATGATTCCCTGAGCTTCACCAGGAGTGATTACTGAGTGCAGAGCCAGGAATAAACCCTGAGCAGTGCCGGGTGTCGCCCCTGCCTAAGGGAAAACAAAAAAACAAAAACACACTGATAAAACCCCAAATAACTTAGTGTGAATATAATGGGGGGGGGGGTAGCCACCACAGGGGAAAAAGAAACAAAAGTGAGGGGACCAGAGAGACTGTTCAACCGGCTGCCACATGCCTGGCGTGCAGGAGAGCTGAAAGGGCTGGTGCGTGTGCCAGTGCCTGGCATGGCATTGCTCCCCGAGCAGCTTGGGGCGGGCGTGAGGCACACCTCAAGGACTTCTTGAAATAGCCACACGCACATCCTCAATGCAGTGTTCTTATGCAAAACCACCTGGATGAACTGGTGGTCACAGACTTCCAGAAGAAACACCCAGGTACATGGGACCAGAGGCTGAGGACTCCAGGTCACATGGTGGTGGGGACAGGCTGGTCCTTCCCATCTATGTGCCCCCTTGGGGTTCTGGCTGTCACACCCACGAACTGCCTCCGGGTGCCATTTAAGCGCATTAATGGCCTTGATCCAGAGACTCCCAAATGAATCTCTGAATGGATTAGCTCCTTACAGAGAGATGTCTCCAGACCCCAATTATTTACAATTTTAGAATTCCAGGAACATGCGGCGGCTTTTGCGGCCATGGGACATCGCATGATATTCATAACAAGCAACAGAAAATAAATTATCTAGCATCTGCCTGTGGCAGGCAGGCTTGAATGGTGGTGGGAAAATTCAAAATAATGACAGTGGGAAGGTATAACAATGGTGGTGGGATTGATGCTGAAATATTGAATGTAATGAATGAATGTGAACAATCTTCTGAAAATAAAATTTAAAAATTAAAAAAAAAAAAGAAACACCACCTGGAGTGGCCCCTTTTTTTGTCCTGTAGGGGCTGGGGGTCACATCCAGCAATGTTGTGGGTTGCACCAGCAGTGCTTAAGGGACCCTGTGGTACCTGGAATGGATCAAGCCTGGGCTGCTGCGTCAAAACACAGCCCTCCACCCCCAACCCCGCCCTTTCCGCCACCCCCCTTCTGCCACCTTCCCTTTGTAAGGTTAAGAAGCTCAAGGGCAACAAGGAATGCACCAGGGTCAAAGTCCTATTAGGGGTGGGCAAGGGGGTCATAGCTGTCCCTTTCCCACTTCCAGGTATCTCCACTAAAGGAGCGGGTGGACAGCACCGAAAACTGTCCCAGGACAGCCAAGGTCTGGGCAGCCCAGGGGGTCCCACTGCCTCCTGGTCATGAGAGGAAGCTCCCGAGTCCTGAGAAGTGACCCAAGGGACCAACCCACCACTCCGGAGTGAAACAAATGAGAAGCCACGCCACAGACATTCTCTTCCTTAAAAAACAGCCATTTCAAAAGATTTTCTTTAATATCATAAAATATTTTCATGGATAAGTGAGCTAAGCAAACACACATGCACCAACGTGCCTTTTGAGGTCACCCTCCCCCACCCGCATTCCCAGAGCGGGACCGAGACTGGAAAACTGAGCAACAGCCGAGAGGCCGGCGTGGGGGACGATGGACAGGATGGACTACGGAATTGTGCTTGGTTATTTTCCTATGTCACAACAACACAAAAACATTTCGGTGCAAAGAGTTAAACTTTTCCTCTTTTCCATTTAAGTCTGGTGGAGAAAAAAATACTTCTTCTATAATAAAATATGTGGCTTTTTGGTTGCTTTTTTTTTCTTTTTAAAACCTTTTTTAACATAACTTTTTTTTTCTTCTTTTTTTTTTTGCAGAAAATAATTTTGTAAACTGTCACTTTGCGGGCAGGGGAGGCTCCAGGCCACGTGGGTCTCAGCTCACCCGTTTTGTTTTGGCCGAGCGCTGACACCAAACCCAGGCTGGGGAAGGGGCGCAGGGCAGCAGGGGGGCGCGGGGCGGGGCGCGCACGGAGTGGGAGGGGCGGGGCGCGGGGGGGGGGGGAGGTGGGGGGCTCCGGGCCCAGGGGCAGGTTAGAGGTCACTCTCTCCGTACAGCGCCGTGGAGAAGGACATGTAGTCCAGAGCACCGGGCACGGCGTCGGGGCCGGTGTAGGGGGCCATTCGCGCGATGCAGTACTCGGCCTGGTCGGGAGGCAGTTCCCGGCGCAGCTCGTCCACCGTGATGTAGTTCTGCGGGGGGAGAGCGGGTGGTCAGGGCCGGCAAGGCAAGGGCTCGGGGTTGGGACCTCCCCCCAGGGGTTCCCAGAGCCGCTAGGACGGTGCCCCTGAGCCTGCCCACTCCTGAGCATCCCGTGAGGACATAGGCGGGCACCACATACATTCACTCTGGAGATGCACCTCCCTGCTGTCTGATGGCTCTCCAGATCCATCATCTCTGATCTTTCCCACCTTTTTCCATCTTTTCCCACCTCTTTGCTGATCTATCAGGGAAGGAACTCTGAACTTCGGATCAGACTGAGAATCAATCGCTTCTGAGGGCTTGCCTTCCCAGCTCCTCCAAGCTCTCCAAGCTTACTCACACCCTGAGCTACCTCTGCAAAGCAGGGCCGCTTGGGCCAGTGGGACCCTCGGGACAGGTCCCTAATTAAAGTAGTCTGGGGCATGGCGGGGCACACCCACCCCTGCCAGCCCTGGCCCCGGCTTTCCCATTCAGTTTTCCTTGATTTGGCTACCTAGATGCCACTTTATTATTATTATTATTATTATTATATTATTATTATTATTATTATTATTATTTTGGAGGGGCAGGGTAGGCTTGAGGTGGAGAAGGTGCTTGAGATTCCACTAAAACTGTAATAAACCAGTGAGCCACCCCCTGCTCCCGGAGCCAGTCAGAAGGCTTCTCAAAGGGGAAGGGACCAGTCCTTGCTCTGGGCATCACGGCTAGTCCATGCTTTAAGCGAGGTGGTTTCTGGGCTTCTCCCACTTCAGGGGCCCCGACTCTAACAGGCTATCCTGGACCTAGTGACGTGTTCAGCTTCAGTCCCTCCCAGCTTGATGGCCACCTGCCAGAAATTCTACTCCTTCTTGCCCCTAGCCATTCCTAACTCTGCCCTCCTGGTTGGGAGGGAAGAAGCCTGTGGACTGGACAGAGAACACCTGCCTGGGAAGCTCCTCCCCAGCTCCTCCCCAGTTCCTGCCAGGTGCTCCTGCTCTCCCTTGCCGTGCAGGCTCGGGAGGGCTGGAAATCCCACTAGCTACTCGAGGCAAAGCAGTGGCACCGTCCACACACATCCTGTCTGCTCCCTGCCCCAACACACACACATACACATACACACACACACACACACACACACACACGGCCTGTGCAGAGGATGACATGATGACAAGGGGGGCAGATACAAGTCTCAGACTGTCCCCCACACCTCCTCCTACAGCCTGTCACTTCACGCAGGGATGCAGGAGTCCCTCGCTGAGCTTTGGGGGGTCTGGCAGGAGAACCCCTTTGGGCCAATGTCTCGCCCTGACGTCTGAGCCCAGCCCGAGGTGATACAGAGCCTGGAGAGCCAGAGAGCGAAGGTGGGCGGGAGCTTCTCTGCAGGTCACACCCACCTTGTCCCCAGCCAGGATCTTGAAGGAAGCCATGACCTGGTCCGCTGTGTCTGTGTCGGCTGTCTCGCGGGACATGAAGTCGATAAAGGCCTGGAACGTCACCACCCCCAGGCGGTTGGGGTCCACGATGCTCATGATGCGGGCAAATTCGGCCTCCCCCTGGAGGAAAGAGTCAACCCGGGCCCATCAGCCTCTGCACCTTGCCTGCCAGCCCCCTCTGATACAGAGCTGAGGCCCCCGATGGCTGTCAATGGGTCGAAGCATGGGCCTCAGCCTCACCTGTGAGGTCCTAAGGGTATGACAGAGACACGATGTCCTGCATCTCGGGCAAATGCTGCTGATGTCCACGGCACTAGTGGCCAGGGCAGCGCCCGCACACCCTCTGCCTTCTGCAGGTACCCCCTTCAGTGCTGTGCACATTTAGCTTCACCCGCCCGTCACCGCAACCCCCCTGGTTATCACTGTACTAAGCTTCCAAGCCCAAGGTGCAGGCAGGGCCACCCACTGGCCCCAGGTACCCCAGACAGCAAGTGGGGAAGCTGAGATTTGAACTCGGGCGTCTGCCTGGCCTGGCTATGTCCCAGATGCATGCATGGCACCGCTTCCCCTCACAATTTCCTCTCTGTGCCCTGCCACAGTCCCGTAGGGCAGGCCTGGTTCTTCTCATCCAGCATCCCCAGAGATGGCTGAGCTGGGACTTACTCCCAAGAGGATGGTTTCTGGAGCCTGTCCCTGACGCCCACCTTGGGCAGCCCTAAAACCCTGTGTTTTGCACAAGGCCGAGGAGTCACGTTGGCTGAGTCGTGAAGACCCCGGCCCTATGCAGAGGGCCTCTATGAGGAGGGGGTTGGGGCTCTGCCCAGAGGGATGGTGAACCCGGATGGAGCCAGGCACAGGGCAGAGCAAGCCATTTCTGTGCTCATGGAAGATGGAGCAAAGCTAGCCCCGACCTAGAGCATCCAACCATGCTTGATCCCAGCTGCCCCTGGGGATCCGGCATCCATGGCAGGTATAAAATGCCGGTCTCCAAGGTTAAGCAGCCAACAGGAAACTTATAAACTGGCTCAGAGGCAGCGACCAGGCCTCCGGGGTGCACAGAGGAAACCATCTTCCTCGAGGCCTGAATCCTGAGGCCACCCCTGCTGCGAGAGCTGTCCCGAATCAGGGGGCCTCCAGCCCATCAGAGCCACCACGGGCCTCTCTGGGGCCAGCCCAGAAACACGGGGGGTTTTACATTACCATGTTGTAACCCATGGAGATAAGGCAGGCCCGGAAATCATCCGTATCCATGATGCCTGTCTTCTTCTGTGGGGCCAGTGGCACCCACACACGTGCCGAGCAGAGGCAGGAGGAAGAAGACGGATAGGGCACAGATGGCCAGGGGGGCATGGGAGGTCAGGAGAGGGACAGAGGAGAGGAGAGGAAGCACACGCCCGTGGAAAAGTCCACGGGAAGGAGGAAGAGAGCAGAGAGATGCAAATGTCCGTCCGCAGGATGAAGAGTGGTGGGGAGAGGGGAAGGAGGGCCGGCAGAGTCCCAGGAAAGGCCACGGAGGTCAGAAGTCAGAGATCGGAACGGTGTTCAGAAGAGCCGGACAGGAGCCGCAGGACGAGATGAGCCCCCGGGAGAGGAGAGCCGGACAGACGCAGACAGACAGAGAAGAGAAAGGGGAGAAACACGGTTATTTCTCGGCCCGGACGCCACCCCTGAGTGTGCTCCATGCAGGCGGCGAGTACCTGGGGGTCGTTGCCAATATCATAACCCAAGCTGATGAGGCAGGCTTTGAACTCCTCGGGACCCAGCGTGCCGGAGTGATCCTGGGGGCCGCCGTGCCAGGCAGCGAGCCATGCGATGCCAGGGAGGTGGAGGGCGTGAGGGAGGTGGGGTGGGTGGGGGTGGGTGGGCCATGCCCCGGGGGGGAAGGTGGTTGGTGGTGAGTGTGTGGAGACACGGGGCAGAGGCATGCGGACAGGAGGGCAGGGAGGGGGGGAAATAAAAGTGCACACGGTTAGACACACGCGCGAGGCCCAGGGGTGCCCTCTCCCGGGGAGCACGGTGAGCCATGGGGGTGAGAAGCCGTCCCCCCGCCCCCCCACCACACACACACACACACACACACACAAGTGCCCCAGCCCACCTCCAGCCCCGACGCCCTGACCCCAGTCTCTGGGAGTGCTTGGCCCATCTGGGGGCCTGGAGGGCAGTGAAGCAGTAGAAGAGGGGCAGCACCTGACCCCAGGGCTCTAAGTCTTAGGGGACTGCATGGGGTGGACACCCAACCACCCAGGGTGGGGAAGGGAACCCAGGGCTGAAACTAAGACAGCCTCTAGTATGTGTGTGGGGAAGGGGGTGTTAAGGGGTAGTCCCCAACCCAGGGCTATGGAAGCCTGGCCCCTGAGGGCTGGAAAGAAGGGTCAGGGGTCCACAGTCCTTCCCTAGGCTGGTCTCACTGGGCCAGGACAGGCTCATGGCAACTCTTGCCTCCCCTTTGGGTGCCTGGGGAAGGGGGTTCCCTGGTGGCCGCCTAAGCCTACGCCCGTGCCCTCCAGGGTCCAGGGGGCAGGGGCTTGGGGGCTTCTTGAAGCCAGTGCCGGGCCTGGGGGCTCACCCGGTCAAAGTGGTTGAAGGAGGCCCGGAACTCATTCATCTGCTCCTGGCTGATGCCCTTGGCGTCCCGCGTCAGGATCTGGTTCTCCACCTCATTGATGGTCCTGGCGATGGTGGTGAGCAGCTGCTCCCAGCCCACGCGGATGTGCTGTGGGAAGAGTGGGATGCATCAGCCCAGGGGAACCCCGCCTAAGGCCTGGAGCCCCTGCTGCCCACTCCCTCCTTCAAGGCTACCCTACTCAGCCTCTGCTCACATTCAGAGTGTGTACGGGGCCCAGAGACCGGAGGCAGGAAGGGGATGCCCAGGCGGGGTGGTGGCCCCTGTTTGGGACAGGAGGGACCAGAATTGACTCTGGGGAAGTCTGGTGGGAAAGGAGAGCAAATGTGGTACTAGGAAAGATGGAAGGATCCCCAAAAAAGAATAGAACATAGGGCCGGAGAGATAGTACAGTGGGTAGGGCACTTGCCTTGCACATGGCTGAACTGGGTTCAATCCCCAACACCCCAAAGGGTTCCCCGAGCACTGCCAGGAGTAACCCCTGAGCACCTTCGGGTGTTGCTCAAAAACCAAAAAAAAAAAAAGAAGAAAACAGGCTATTCCCTATATGTCCCACTCTACACACATGTACACAGATACGAACATAGACATACACATACTACATGTACATACTAAATAGCCATCATAAAGCAGATGACAAGCCAATGTTGAGGACATCAATACTAAAAGTCACTGGCATGCATGCTGGTTAAAATTCCAGATTTTTAAAACATAAAACCCAGATTCTGTGGCAGGAGCAATGCTCAACAGGCTGAACCCAGACTGCATGCTCAAGATCCAGGTTTGATCCCAGTGCCGCATTGGTCCCCTGCTCATTGCCAGGAGCGGGCCCAGGGAAGTGAATCTGGAATAGCCCTCAGCAATGCTGGATGTAGCCTAAACATCACCATCACCACCATCACCAAAGTGGGGCCCAGCCCAGACCCAGGGACTCAAAACTCTGGAACAGAAATCTGCACTTCCTGTGAAAACCTCCCCAGGAGGCTCAGGAGACAGGATGGAGGCACAGAGCCCCGTGGCAGGTGATCGTCCCCTCACTTGCAGGACCAGGGTTGACCGACCTGCCAGGACACTGTCACACGCAAGCGTCTCGCTCCCACCCACCTCCATGGTGTAGTTGGTGTGCTTGTTGTCGAAGATGAGAGCCTCCTGGATGAGCTGGTGGTCGCCCTCCAGCTGGTCGATCTTTGGCTTGTAGTTGACGATGCTCTTCTCGTACTGCCGCAGGTGGCTGAGCTGGTCCTCCAGCGTGCCGTGCATCTCGATGGAGATCCTGCCGATCTCCTGCTCACCGAGAAGGCCCACGTCAGCCCTCTGGTCACAGGGGACTGGGGCCCAAAGAGCCCTCGGATGATTCCCTGTTCCCACCAGGACCTCTGGAGTCCGCCAGCAGCAGTGAGCCTGGCCTCTGTAGCAGAGGTACTTCGTGGCGAGCCTGTCAGCACTGGGTGGACTATCACCTGCATCCAGGATGCCTGACTTGTCCATTGCCCTGTTCTCACCCTTGGTCTGCCTCTGGCCCTCTATGTGACCCTGGAGCCAGTTTCCAACACCTCTAAGTGCTGGCCCACCTCCTCAGTGGTGCCCCCACGATGCTTGCCTTGGAATCAATCTCAGATTGATTAATTACAATGAAAAAAAATTAAATGAAAAAAAATATGTATCTACATATGTAATATATTATTATATATATCAGCATGCAAGGCTCAACCGCTAACATGTTAATAATCTCTTATACAAAGGCTTAATGGCTCCAGGGACACAGTGAGAGCCATACAGCAATCTTCACACACTTTCCTCTAAGAAAATTTTTTCGTAACATTTTTAGCGGATTATTCACAATAAGCAATACAAAATAAATTATTTAGGTCCTACTTTGGGGGCAGGCTTTGGGAATCAGGGTGGAAACATTCAAAATACAGTGGTGGGAAGGTGTCATGGTGGTGGGATTGGTGTTGGAATATTAAATGTAATAAATTATTGTGAACAACTTTATAAAAATAAAATTTAAAAAAAGATGCCTAGCGTGCTGGAGTGACAGCACAGCGGGGAGGGTGTCTGCCTTGCACGCAGCCGACCTGGGTTCAATTCCCAGCATCCCATATGGTCCCAGGAGTGATTCCTGAGTGCAGAGCCAGGAGTAACCCCTGTGCATCGCCGGGTGTGACCCAAAAAGCAAAAAAAAAAAAAAAAAAAAAAAAGATGCTGGCCTTATCCCACCTCAGTCCTTCCCTTTTCTGAGGGCCAGGCCTCATCCCTGTATCTGTCTGTCCCCCATCCACATAATGCCAAGTTGTCTGTGAAAGCAAGGTCCACTCACTCATTCAATTCGGCAAATATTCCCTGAGGACGTGCCCCTTCTACACACCATGTGAAACCCTGTATGGTCCCTCGTCCTCCTGATGCTCAGAACACAGACAGGGATAGTCCAAAGGCCTGGAGCATGTGCCTCGTTTGCATGAATCCCAGAGCTCAGTCTCTGGCATCACAAGCCTCCAATTCATCACCCCCCGACCCCTGAGCACCCCTTGCTGGATGTGGGCCTGGTGGCCCCCAGCACATCTGAGATCAAATAGCACTGTTGTGTGCTGCGTATCCCACGGGGTATCTCTGGTGCCTCCTTCCCCAAGCAGAACAACAATGACTAAAAAAAAGATGCTCGGGAGGCTGTGACAGCCACCCCCAGGCCAGCCTTCCCCACATCTATGGCAGCCCACCAGCAGGTCCATGACCATCGGCAACACAGCCCATGCTTGCCAGAGGTCCTGTTCTCTCCCTGGGAAGATCATCCTCTCGGACCCACTCATTACTCAGGAGGCTCTTCCTGGGCAGTCCATTAATCCAAGAGGGTGAGCTGAACTATTCACCCAGGACTTGTCCCTTTGGTGGACCTGGCCAGTGCTGCCCGTGTGGTCTCACTCCTCAAGCCGGAGGCAGGGATCAACCCCCAGGCCTTCTCTGCACACTCCCTCCCACCCGCACCCTGCAGGCAGCTGGCCAATCAGACTCATGGCCTCAAGAGCGGTGAGGGTGCCTGAGTGCTGGTGGGCAGGGCAGGACCCACCTCCATCTTGGTCTGGATCCAGGGCCCGATGACGTTGGCCTGAGCCCCGAACTGCTTGCGTAGCCTCTCGTTGTGCTGCTGACGGGAGTGCTCCTCCGTCAGTGCCTGGTCCCTCCGGGGCACCAGCTGCCGCACCTGGGGTGGGGACAGACAAGGGACACTGCAGGAGCTGGCCGGCCAAGAGCCCCGATTCCAGATGGAGACGTGGAGGTCTGGTGAAGACACCCAGTACATCCTGAAATTCAGTCCCCTTGACAGAGCCAGCAGCTCCTCCATAACCACCCAAGTAGCAATGTGTAAGAATAAGCCAACCTAGGGTCGGAGTCATAGCACAGTGGGTAAGGCATTTGCCTTGCATGCGGCCAACCCGGGTTCGATCCCCGGCATCCCATAGGGTCCCCCAAGAACCGCCAGGAGTAATTCCTGGGTGCAGAGCCAGGAGTAACCCTGGGCATCGCTGGGTGTGACCCAAAAAGAAAAAAAAAGAATAAGCCAAGCCCAAAGAATGGAAGACAGACTGACCTTCCCTGTGCTGGAGAGAGAGAGAGAGAGCTCAGAGGGCTAGAGCTTGTTCAGGTTTCTGTGCAGGAGATCTGTGTTTGATCCCTAATACCACATGCCCTCCCACCCCCTGCACCAGTGGGAGAGACTCCTGAGCACCTAATTAGGAGCTGCTCCTGGACATACCTGGGCCCCACCCCACCACCACCCCTGCTCATAGGAAACTTTATGAAACTTACACTGGCTCAGCCAGTGGACTCCCTCCCTGCCACCCACCCCGCTCCACCCCAAGCCTGGTCCAGGCCTTGGACTCACGTGGTCCCATTTGCCATTGATCTCCTGAGGCGTGATGGTTGTGTAGGGGTTGGTGCCCGCCATGTTGACGTGGTAGGTCTGCACGATCTTGGACACCTCGTTGTGGATGCCCAGGATGGCCAGGCGCTCCTTGTCGGCGTCAGGAAGAGTGGCCTTGAACTGCTCGTGGGCTGTGGTCAGTCCCTGGACAGAGAGAGAGAGTGTGTGTGTGTGTGTGTGTGTGTGTGTGTGTGTGTTGGGGGGGATGCAGGAGGAAACACGATGATTGGGGGCTTCCCAGAGCAGAGGTGCATGGGGAAGGGCCAGCACCTGCCTGTTAGAGGGTCCAGTGGGCTGAGCCGAATAGTTCCCCTGGGGCCTGAACGTCAAATTATGGGGTCTGCACAATCAGGCCTTGCAAGAATCACTGAGAGTGGACCCTGAGCACTGCTTGGGAGTCACTGTCCCCCTCTCCCCCCCCAAAAAACTAAAACAACCCTGAGGATGCTCTGCCTTCCCCAGAGCAGGGTCACTCCCCCAGGGCCAGGGTGAGGGGCCGCAGCGCACCTGGATCTCCTCGATGGTGTGTACAATGAAGGTGTCCTGCAGGTCCTCCATGGCCCCCTCCATCCAGTTGTTGAAGGGCGCGGCCCGCTTGGCGTACTCCAAGTACAGCTGGTCAATGGTCTCCAGCAGCTTCTCCGTCCGCTGAGTGTGCCGGACAGACAGAGGGGGGTGTGAGGCAGAACACTACTCCAGAAACTACTCCCTGCTCCTTCCTGCCCAAGAGCGCCAAGATCCTCCTGGCATAGAAGCAGCTGCCCATGCTAGGAGAAGAGAGGGAACCCCTTCGGGTCACGGGGCCTTCCCCCCAAGAGAGTAAGGCTGACGGCCCCCGAGAAAGCCCTGGCTTGGCTAGAGGAGAGAAAGGCCATCTTGGGGGGCAGGGCGTGAGGCGTGGGAGGGACCAGAAAGCTCAGAGAGTCCAGGTGAGAGAGGAGGCCCCACGTTCAGGCAGAGTTGGGTCGGGCCTCGAACCCTCCCCATAAAAGGTTTTCCCCAGGCAAAGCCGAGCAGCAAAGAGGCAGGCAGAGCTGGAGGCCCTCTCACCTCCAGGGCTTCCCTTCGCTTCTGGGTCAGGGCCCCCAGATTGTCCCACTGGTCACAGATTTTTTGGCACCGGGCGTTGACACTGGGTGAGTCGTAATAGTCCAGCTCGCTGAGAGGGGAGAGATGCGGAGAGACAGTGAGCCGCCAGGCCTTTCCTAATCCCACCTCCTCGGAAGTCTGCGATGCCCTGGGGGGACCCCACAGACCAGTCCTCCTGTCTACCCCCTGGGTCTGCCCTAAGCAAAGCTGGGGGGCTATGTGGGTCTCCGCCAGGGCACTCACGGGCAGGCAGGGAGCTGGTGAGGCCTCTTCAAGCTCAGAGGCAAAGACTCAGCCCCTGGTCCTGGCTATAGGTGATGCCCAAGGCTCATCCCTCAGGGGACCGACCCCTCGGTCTTCTGCACTGGGCCCCCCTTCCTGGGCCAGGGAAACTGTACCAGGGCCAGGGTACCCATTGCTCCTGGTACCCCCAGAGCAGCAGGGTGGCCCTGATGGTCCCCAGCACCCCAGGGCCCATCCCGCCTGCCACGGCCCCGCGGCCATACTTGAGCTCCTGAGCAATCGCCGCGATCTGCTCCACGCGGTCCTGGTGGGCAGCCAGGTCACTTTCGAAGGCCTCGTGCTTCTTGAGCAGGGCCTTGATCTCCGACAGGGTGGCCGTCTCGTAGTCCTTCTGCCGCAGCATGGCTTCCTTGCCTGGGCATAGGGCCAAGGGGGTAGGGTGGGTGAGCAGGCAGCGCCGGGGCTTGACCAAATCCTGCCTGAGCTGCCCGGCTACCGATGGTCAGTTCCTACTTTGATGCCCCGATCCCCATATAAGACGTTGGCAACATAGCAGAACACGGGAAGAAGGCTGTATGATTGGACAGCTGCATGCCACCGTCAGGCCTATAGATGCCCCCCCCCAAAAAAAACAACCCCCAGATTATGTTCTTTACAGGGTGTCCGGAAATGGAATTCCCAGGCTGGCAATGACACCACTGAGGTGTGAGTGTAAGTCAGACACAGGTCCCCCGCCACCCAGTGCCCTCATGCCCTTGCTGGGGTCTGGCAGCAGGACAGGATGACCCGTGTCAAGCTCTGAGCTACCCCTTGGGCCCCGGATATGATGCAAGGGCGTGTGGGGGGCAGTGGGTACATAGGAGTGATGGCCACTGTCCACTTCCACCCAGTACCAAGCGAGCTGGGCCAACAGCATCGTACAGGACAGTGGAAGGAGGACAGCTGCCCCAGAACAACAGTCATACCTATGGGCTCGGAACCAAACAGAGTTACAGTCCAGCCTGCTCGGCTCTGCTAATACTCTTCTATCTGTTTCTAAGCCAAGTAGTTTCCAAGCATGAGAGGGGAGGGAGAGAGAGAAATGGAGAGAGAGAGAGAGGGAGAGAGAAAAGAGAGGGAGAGAGAGATGGGGGAGAGAGAGATAGGGGAGAAAGAGAGGGAGAGAGGGAGAAAAGGGAGAGAGAGGGAGAGAGAGAAATGGAGAAGAGAGAGGGAGAGAGAGGGAGAGAGGGGGAGAGAGGTGGGGGAGAGAGGGGAGGGAGAGAGAGAGAGAGAGAGAGAGAGAAAGAGAGAGAGAGAGAGGTGTCTTCCATAGAGGCTGGGGTGGGGAGGTGGAGACTTGGTGCTGGGAAATTAGACTGGTGTAGGGATGGGTTTTGGAACACTGTATGACTGAAATCTAATCATGAACAGTTTTGTAATGCTCTATCACATGGTGATTCAATATAGCATTGTAGCACTGTCCTCCCGTTGCTCATCGATTTGCTCGAGTGGACACCAGTAATGTCTCACAACAAATTGTGAGACTTGTTACTGTTTTGGGCATATTGAGTACATCACAGGGAGCATGCCAGGCTTTGCCATGTGGGCAAGATATTCTCAGTAGCTTGCCGGGCTCTCTGAGAGGGGGATTCATGAAAAATTAAATTAAAAAAAAACATGAACATTATTGAAATGTTTAAAAAAAAGCTTTGGTATATACACCTTTACTTTTTATATACACATAGTGAAATGTTATGCAACTCTGAAAAAATATAAAATATAGCAGCTTGCAGCAACTTCGAAGCAACTGGAGGGTATTATATCGAGTGAAATCAGTGGGAGAACAGTAGTGAATGATCTCACTCATCTGTGGTTTTTGGAGAAACAGAACACGGGAATAGATGATACCAAATGATGACAAATCTTTGGCCTTTGACTAGAACTGAGAGGTGAGGTGGTGGTGGTGAGAAGATGAACTAGTGGTGCCGTAAAGACGGTAGTGGCGGGTCTTAAGCACTTTGGTGTTGGTGAGGGTATAAAGATAGACTGAATAAAGTGTGCAAGTGAAAGAGAGAGAGAGAGAGAGAGAGAGAGAGAGAGGCGGGGCTGACCTTGCATGTGGGGACCCCAGTTTCATCCCCAGGAGTGTGTATGATCCCCTGAGCACCAGCAGGGGGCACTCTTGAGCTCAGAGCCAGGAATAGCCCCTGAGCAGCTAAAACAACACACAGAAGGAAGGGGTGTGTGTGGGGGGGGGGGGAGGAGGGGGCGGCATGAGAGGTGGAGGCGGGGGGAACTGTTCTGGAGAAAAACACCGTTCTGGGGCTAGTGTGCAAGCTCTTTGTGGGGGAGGGGGGAGTCTGAGCTGCATCCCCAGCACCACACTAGGAGGATGCCCTGAGTAAAAAAAAAAAAGGTAGGTAAAGGTAAAGGCCCTCCCGTTGATCGTCGATTTGCTCGAGCGGGCCCAGTAACGTCTCCACTGGAGACTTTGTTGTTACTGTGTTTGGCATATCGAATACTCTCGGTAGCTTGCCAGGCTCTCCGAGAGGGGCGGAGGAATCGAACTCGGATCGGCCATGTTGGCCGCTTGTAAGGCGAATGCCCTACCGCTGTGCTATCGCTCCAGAAAAAAAAAAATCAACAAAACCCCAGAACGACTCTTCCAGCTCCACAGTGAAGCTTAGCTTTGCTGCCAGTACACAGACAGCAGCCAGAGCGTAGCGTAGAGATGCACACATGCTGGGCAGAGGACTCGTGCTCTCAGTGAGTGAGGGCAGACACCGGGGGCAGCCAGAATCAGAGGACACGCACCCACACTGGCAAGCCCTCTCCGGGGGGGGGGGTCCCACAGGCTCTGAGGACATAGGTGCACACAACCCCAAGAAGGAGGGGCACTGGGTTAGAGTGTCGTCTCTGCCCGGCCCCAGACTCTTGCCTCCCCTAGCTCATCTGGGAGCTGGGGCTCTGCGGAGGGCATTAAGTAAGGTCAGAGTGTGTGGGGGCATTCTTCACGCCAGGGACAGGGCTTTACTGGGAGATGAGAGAGGTCGTTCCCAGGGACACACAGAATCCTGAGGTTGAGGAACCAAGCACAGTAACACTGGTACCAAAGAGCCCCCTGCAACCGCCAGAATCCGGTGGGCTGAGGAGGCTTCTCCTCGGGAGCCCCTTTGCCAACAGCTCTGCTGGGAACATGGATCGCGGGAGGGCACGTGTTTCCTGTGGGGTTTGTGATGGCAGGATGCGAGTGTGGGAGGGAAGCTCGTGGCCTGCTGTTCTCGCAAGAGGAGAGATCACAGTCAGGGTTCTGGCCTGACAGAGTTGGGGCTGGAACCCCAAAGGCCGTGGCTCAGGGAAGAAGCTGCCACAGCAGGGACATCCCAGGCCAGAACCTTGGCGCCTCCACTCTCCTAAACCTGGCAGCCTGGGCGCTCACCCACTCTGCAGATGAGGAAATGGAGGCCACCCACAGGGCCGTGCACTTTTTGTGGAATATCCCAGAACCGAGAAGAGAGCTGCTGCAGGGAAAAGCCAGAGAGGAGAGAGTTTGGGGAGGACAGTGATGAGCCCCCAAAGCCTGGGGGAGGCAGGCGGCCAAGCGGGCCCTACCGTCCGTCCAGGCCTCGTGGATGGAGGCTTTCTGCCGGAACTTCTCTGCCAGGTGGTCGAGCCGTTCCAGCCTCCGGATCTCATTCAGCAGCCACTCCTCATAGCCCTTCTCCGCCTGCTCCAGGCAGCCCCAGGCATTGTTGATGTCCTGAGGGCACAGACAGTGTGTGTAAAGGCTTCTCCCTCCCAGCTTCGCTCACCCCCTTGGTTCCCAGGCACCCGGCTTCCTGGGCAGAGGATGGCGCTGAATCCACTTGGGCACCCCCTACAGACTTGCACAAGAGCCCAAGGCCCGTGGTACCCTGAGATTGACTTTCTTTTTTTCTTTTCTTTTCTTTTTTTTTTTGATGGGGGCAGGGAACACACACCTGGCAGTGTGCAGGGGTCACTCCTGGCTCTGCATTCAGGAATCACTCCTGGTGGTTTCAGGGGACCATATGGGATGCAGGGACTGAACCTGGGTTGGCTGCATGCAAGGCAAGCGCCCTCCCCATTGTACTATCGCTCCAGCCCCCAGTTTGACTTCTGATGGGATGCTGATCCGTCTCCAAGGTCAGGGCTGGGGCAGGAAGCAGAGCAATGATCCCAATTCGGGAAGCAGGTTGGGGGCCTCCCTACCTCCCACACTACAGGGCTGAGCTGGCTGAGGACAGTGACAAACTGAACACATTTCCCCGCCCTCCATTCTCTCAGACAGGCCACTTGCTGGGCAGTGGAGACTGACCCTGGCCTGCATGCCAAATGGACACCGTGGCCAGGTGCCTCCACCAAGAGGGGATACTTGTCTATTTCCAAGGGACACTCCTCCAGCGATGCAGCTCGGGTCATGTATAAGCTGCTGCTGATGCAGGAGAGAGAAAACTCAGGAGGAGACACTAGCCTGGGATGGGGGTTCCACCTCTGACATCTCACACACACAGACACACAGACACCAGACACAAAGACATGAATACAGACATATACACACACAGACACAAACACAGACACATAGACACAGACCTGAACATGGACACACACAGATACACAGACACAAATACCAACACAGACACGAACACAGACACACACACACAGACATGAACACAAGACACATAGACACAGACCCGGATACAGACACATACAGACATTTACACACAAACACAGATGTACACAAAGACACACAGATACAGACACATGCACAGACATGGATAGAGATTCAGACACAGACACACAGACACAGACCCGGACACAGACACATGGACACAGACACACGGACACAGACACAGATACAGACACACAAACACATAGATAGTCACAGATGGACAAACAGACATATACACAGACACAAGACATACACAAAGACACACAAAGACACAGATACACAGACACACACACGGACACAGACACATACAAACGCAGACACACATAGACACAGACAAACACACGCTGCTGATTCAGCTGGGTACCCGTAAAAGGACTCCATTTCCTTAAAGGCACACAAAGGCCTTTTCCCTCCAGGTTTCCTGAGCTTATTCTAAGGAATCTGTTCACTTCACACACACACTCCAGCGCCCAGTCCCCATCCCACCTTCCAACTATGCTTCATTTCATAAGGTTTGCCTCAGGCCCTACTCTGCTGAATAGGGACATTTTCTTCTCTACATTTCTCTACGTCATACAAGTTCTCCCCAAGTCCCAAAAAATGACTAAAGGAAGATGAATGGAGGCTGTGGAGCTGGCTCTGCACATGTCTGCCTGCAAGAGTCTCATAGCACTCTGTTACAAGTGATCCCTGAGCACAGAGCCAGGAGCAGCTCCTCGGTACCAGCAAAGAAAACAAATTGGCCCCAAAACAAAGAAAAAGAAAAAAGGAAGAAGAATAACAACAACAACAAAAAAGTGACACACATGAGAATTATTTGATGACATGGAAAGCTAGCCTACAAGGTAAGGTTTTAAAAAAGCTACTTATGGGCTGGAGTGATCGTACAGCGGGTAGGGCGTTTGCCTTGCACACGGCCGACCCAGGTTCGATTCCCAGCATTCCATATGGTCCCCTGAGTACCGCCAGGAGTAATTCCTGAGTGCAGAGGCAGGAATAACCCCTGTGCATCACCAGGTGTAACACAAAAAGCAGGGGGAAAAAAAGCTACTTATTAAATAAAAATACTTTTTATAACAGATCCCACTGTTATAAAAATCCCTCTTACTGCTATAGACTTATGCCCTGCTGGGTTCAATATGTCATTTTGAGACATTTTTGTCAAAAGACATTTTGTTTGCAAAGATGATTCTTTTACTGTTTTTGTTTGTTTTGGGGCTACATCCAGTTGAACTCAAGGTTTACTCCTGGCTCTGCACTCAGGGATCACTCCTGGTGGGACCTGGGGGACCATTCAAACCCAGGTCAGCTGCAAGCAAGGCAAGAGTCTTACCCTCTGTACAATTATTCCAGTCCAAGTTTTAAAAACATGTTCCTTTAATTTACTGGGGGACAGGGGTGGGGCCACACCTGGCAGCGTTCAGGGTTTACTTTTGGCTCTATGCTCAGGGAACCTTATGTGGTACAGACTGGCAAGTGCCTTATTACCTACACTATCTATCTCTCAGTCAGGGCTGACTCTCTTTTTTTTTTAATTTTTATTTTTTGAGGGTTGGGGAAAACCTTGGGATGTCAGGGAGGGCTAGATTCTGGAAGATCAAGTCTGACCCAAACAATCAGGAAGGAGGAGGCACTCCCCAGAAAAGGGAGGAGACCCACATCACTCAGTCTGGGCTTCAAGATTGCTTGGTACCCTGGAAGGGAGAAATGACTGTGTGTGTGTGTGTGTGTGTGTGTGTGTGTGTGTGTGTGTGATACTGGGATAATATCTGGGGCCTTGCACATATAAGGCAAATGCTTTATCGCTGTGCTATACTCCCAGTCCAGGAAAAATGGATATGGGGTCAACACATTAGAAGGAAAAATACAGCTGACCAGTGCCCTCCAGAACGGGTCAGGCCCCGCCCACATACCATGCCACGCCCACATGACAACCCCGCCCACTTCCGGGCCCCGCCCACTCCCAGGCCCCGCCCTACCCTCGATCTTAATCAGAGCAGAGGGGCTGCTATGGTAGGGCCAGAGGGTCTGGCCACCGGGATGGGGCTCACCGAGACCATCCTGCCCTCGGAGGGCATGAAGGCGGGCCGGTTGCTGAGGCGCAGCTTGGTCTGCAGCGTGTTGAAGTTGATCTCCAGCTGGCACTTCTCCTGCACCTTGGGCGGCTTGTGCAGGCGCCGGTAGTCGCGGAAGTCCTCCAGCTTCTGCTGCATGGCATGCATGGTGTTCTCGGGCACCCGGTTCTCCAGCCAGGGGATGGTGCGGCGGATCCACTCCAGCAGCTGCGGGACACGGGGGTTGGGGGAGCGTGCTGGGGGTGGGGTGGGCACAGCAAGGCTTCCTCTGCTTGCCCAGCCCCTCCCACACAGGGGACCACGTGGGAACCATCTCGGGATGCCCGCGTGACGCCTAGGCTCTCAGAGGCACAGGCTTCCACGAGTCAGACCACCGGGGTGGGTTAATACACAGGCAGAATCCCTACGCCTGGTGTGAGGAAGACCCCTGGGGTAGGAGCATGTGTAAGAGCCAGAAACCCATGTTCCCGGGTTCCCACCTGGCTGGGCCTGCCTGGAAGGGCACAGAGATGCCACCTGACCCTTTAGGAGTCTAGAATATGGGTCCCTGACTCAAAGGGGAGCAGCTCGCTCCTGAGTGGAAACCAGGAAGGGCTGGAGTGCAGAAGACCAAGCAGGTGAAAGTGATGCCATGAAACACAGTGACACCTGCCAGGCACCTGGCAGGTGACCAAAATGAACCCATCTCAATGATGGGTCCTGGGGTGAGGTGCTAAGCCCCTCCACATCACCGGGGTTGCTAAGGTTCGGAGGGGATTAAGGATGTCCCATGGAACGTGGGGTAGAATGGCAGAATGGGGCTGTAAACCCAGACACTTAGATTCTTACGCTGGTGTACAGCAGATCTGCCCAGAGGCTGGGCTGAGGGCTTCAAAGGGCAAATTCTCTTAAAGAAGAAGCATGGGAAGGATGACCAACCCAGCGCTGCCCTGTCTGTCCCCAGGCAGCACCGATGGATGCCTGACTGTGTGATGGTTGGTTCTCTCTCAGAACCACACTTCTGCACTAGTGGGAGCCGACACATACAACAGCACACCTGGCCAGAAAGGCCTCCAGGTTCCTGGGCTTGATTTTCACCGAATGAGTGAGACAAGCTAGACCAGAGTGGTGAAGGGCTCTGCCCAGTCCCCAGGGGAGCTCCTGATTCACCTCTCTCCCCTTTCTGCGAGAGTCGGGTTGAAGCTGGTGCTGGCCTGGCTTTCCTGGGATCATGGACCACACCCAGCCTCCAGGGGAAGATTTGAAAATTTCAGTTGGGAAAGGGGTACAGGGGAGGGGGTGTGCTCCCTTTTCTCTTAGGATGAGATGAAAGAGCCTTGCTGGGGACAGGTCAGGATAACCCTGGGGGTACCCACATCGCTGGCCAGTTTCTCATAGTCTTCCATGAGCTGCTCGTTCTCCTGGTTGACGGCCAGCACCTTGCAGATGCGGTTGGCTGCAGTCTCCGCCTGCAACAAAATAAGCAGCAATGGTCAGCCATGACCACCCCCCCGACCTAGTAGCCCCAAGACGGAAGTCTCCTCCTCCTCATGCCTCCTTACCATCCTCTTTGCCAACCCATGCTGAGTCCCCATGGTGCAGCCTAGAGAGTGGGCCTGGTTTAACTGGGCCCCCAGAGGAGACACGGATTTACAAGGGCACATTTGAAGAAACCCACCCAATGGCTGGTATAATCCAACCACTCAGCTTGGATGGAAAGGGGAGAAAGTTCAGGCCCATCTTGGGGTTCCTACCACGGCCAGGCTCAAGTTCTCAGGCTAGAGCGGGGCTGAGACTTGGACATGCAGAAAGTTCTCAACATTTCTGGCCCAGATTCCAAAATGCGTTAGAGAAGATGCAAGAACCCTGGGGTGGCCTGAAGGGTAGAGGGAAGAATCAGTCATAGCAAGAGGAGCAAGTCTAGCAGGGCAGCCCTGGCAGCTATGCTCACATCCAGTCTGAGACATGGGCAGGCATGCAGGAGGGGACTCCTGGAGGTGAGAGGAACAAAGGGCACTCAATGGCCCTCAGGCACAAAGAAATCCTAGACACCCTGTACCATTGGGCTGAGAAGACTCTGCAATCCCTGCCCCACCCCCATCTCCACCCCTGTTTGGCTAAACCCACTTGGCTAAGAGGAGCTTAAAAAAAAATTAAGAGGCCACACCCAGTAATGTTTAGGGCTAATTCCTGGCAGGGCTTCGGGACCACATGGGGTGCCGGGAATGGAACCCAGTTCAGCTGTACACAGGGCAAATGCCCTACTGCTGAACCATGACTCTGGTCCCCCTCAGATGACTTTTAACTGCAGCTCTGAAGCATGCATGAGGACCTGGGTTCCATCCTGGCACCACAAAGTTAATGAACAAATGAATGAAAGGATGCAGCTATATTCCTGCACTAACCCCCTAACTCAGTGGGAGAGTGAGCCTGCAGCCCCTGGGGTCCCAGCATAGAAAGCAAGACAGTCAGGGGAGGGAGTGGTTACTGGCGGACACGTGTCCTGGGGCCCTGGACAAGGTGCCCTGCTGGTGGCCTGTGGAGGCGGGGGGGGGGGGGGGGAATGATGAATAAGACAAAACAGTGCAGCACACTGAGAGGGGTGAGGAGGGTCACGCTAAGAGCTGAGAACGAGGGGCTCTGAGCCGGGAAGGAAAGACCAAGCCTGCGAACAGTGGCTGCCTACAGAGCTTTTCAAATCAGGCCCACGCCCACTGCACCCTGGGCTTTGTGTGAGCCCCTGTGAGGAGGCTAGAGGGGGCAGTAGTCTCAGAGCAACCCCTTCCAGCTCCTCTGACCCAGTGGGTCAGAGGGGACAAAGTCCTGCAGCAGAATGGGAGGAAGCACGGGTCAGAGCAGCTGTGACTCCTCAGAGACGGGGACCGTTGGGAAGCAGAGGCAGGAAGGGAGAAGCCCCTGGCGCTCTGCTCTGGAGGCTGATTCATCCTTTTTTCCCTCTGAGAAGGACCAAGGAGTTCTGGGAAACCCCAGAGGGGCAAGCAGAAAGAACTTCCCTGTTGCAAAGTTCCTGTCAAGTTCCTGTCCCGGGAGATGGGGGATCCCGGGGACAGAAAAAGGGGTCATGGGAACCCTGGAACCCACATGTGACAGGAAACTGGCAGGAACTGCAGGGCTGGGGACCTAAGGGAGGACAAGGCTCTGCTCTCCCCACTTGCTTTGGTTTGTGGGGCTATGCCTGTGTCAGTGTTGTGTGGTTTGGGGGAGCACGCAGTGCCAGGGAGAGAACCCCATGCTTTTGCACACAAAGCCTGCACCTGCACTTGAACCCTCTGAACCTCTCCCGGCCCTTCTTTTCTTTGCACCAGAGAAGCTGCAAAGCCCCTGCCCCGGGCACTGAGAGCCACCAGTGGCTGCTCACAGTCCAAAGCCTTTGCTGCTACAGTGGCTCATGGATAAGGCCCTTTGGGACCTGATTGGTCTTGGGAGCTCAGGCTCAGGGGTCATGCACTTGGATGTCTGCTCAGAGGGCAGACCGAGCAAGGCCTATGAGCGTGAGATTTTAGGGGTCTCACTCAGCCCTCCAGAGCCAGCTGACCAGGTGGGGATGTAGCTCAGTGGTAGAGTGCATGCTTTGCAGGTATGAGACCCCAGGTTCGATCCCTGCCATCTCCAGCATGGCCAGAGACAGCTGACCAGCCCTAGGGACCACACGCATGGGGGGTGGGGGAAGTGTCCCTGCTCAGGGCCTTCTGGGGACTTTCCACCCAGATCCAAGCTCTCTCTCATCCCATCTCTCCTGCACCTCCAGGGGAGAGGGCGTCAGGGGAAAGGGTCAGTGAGGGGCAGAAAGACAGCCTGGGAAGTCTGGGCATCGGGACAGAGAGATCTGCTCAGGAAAGGCCAGGCCCAAGGTGAGGTCCAAGGTGGACATGATTGCCCAGCTGTTACCCCGAATCCCATTAGGAAGCAGATTCCTGGAAGCCAGATTTGATTCTAGTCAAAAAATGGGCAGAAGGCTCAGAACCTGGCCGCTCCCCTGGCTCTCAGGTTCAACTTCGTTCACCACAGCACCCTGCACCCTGCACCCTGCACCCTGCACCCTGCACCCGGCACCCAGCACCCTGGAAGGCCTACCCCCACTTCCATGTGAGTCCCCATAGAAAGAAGGGTCAGCCCCCTCCCTCTTGGGGCCAAGGGTCACGGAGACCAGCTCAGGAAGCAGAGGCTGGGCCTCTGGGACACGATCCCTGGGGAGGAGGGATGAGAAACCCTGGCTCCATCAGCCCCAGGTGCTGGTCTTCCTGCTCATCTGGCGAACAGGGACCTGCATCTCATCATACAGAAACTGGCTGAAGCAGGGATGTGTTCCGAAGAGGGAGGAAAGATGCACCTCCAGAGCGAATTCCAGAAATTCTGGAAATGCAGTGACTTCAGAGGAAAAAAAAAAGACCAGGGTCGGGTCCTGTGGGACTGGGGGCGCTCTGTGGAGTCTAAGGTCATGCAAGAGGCCCAGGGCTCTTGTGTGAGGGGCAGGACAAAGGAGGGATGACACCCCCAGAGGTGTGGGGGTGGAGAAAATGCCCCCCCCCACTCCCCTGTGGAAGATGCGAAATGAAGAGAACCAAGGGCAAGGGCGTCTCCCCTGGGTCTGTACAACAGAGTTTGAGTCAAGGCTGACAGGCACGTGACCTCGCCCAGAGTGCCTTGCTTGTTCCATAGTACACTGGTGGGTTGCTCCCCCTCACTCCCCTCAAAGTTTTGGAAGATTGTTCCTAAAGGGTTTAGCTATCCCAAATGGAACCTTCGGCTCTCCCCCAAACGTCCAATTGAGTCATCAGCGTGAAGAGGTGGCACTGAGAGAGGCGCCATCAGTAAGGTGACCTCAGTGATGTCAGCCTGAGACTCCACCTCCACACAAGCCCCCCAGATATCACCAATGCTTTTTTCCTTCTTTTTTGGAAGGGGCCACACCTGGCAATGCTCAGGGGTTACTCCTGGCTCTTCACTCAGGAATTATGCCTGGCAGTGCTTGGGAGACCCTATGGGACCAGTGCCGGGGTTGAACCTGGGTTGGCGGCGTGTAAGGCAAATGCCCTACCAGCTGTACTATCACCTTATCCCCTGATAGCATTTTCATGAAACATTCCCCAAATCTTCAGAGATTTACCCTCCCCGAGTCCCAGCCCTGCTCTTTCTACCAGATAAGCATCCTCACTCCTGAACCCAGGTAGGACCAGCTACCAGCAGAGGGAGGTGCTATGTCTCCTTTTTTGTTTTTTCTTGCTTTTCTCTGTTCCAGGTGGCCAGACTGGAACTTGGCTCTTCTCTTCCTGCATTACACCGGGAAACCTCCCAGCTCAAGCCTCCCCAGCCTCTCGCCTATGGGCCTCCAAGAAATCCTTTGGCCTGTCAGTTTAAGGGCCTCCTGCTCAATAAAGCCAGGACAGCTGCGCTTGGGATCTGTCAGCAGGACCCAGGGCTACCCTGCCAGCAGCACAAGCTTCCTTGGTAGGCAGGAATGGATGCAGCTTTTTTTTTTTCCTTAGAAGAATCATAAGGGTGAGTTTGAAAGGCAAACGGGCAGACGCCAAAGCCCATCTGGTCAGAAAAGCAACCTCTAACCCAGAGAATTCTGAGCATGTGGGAAAGGGTGGTTCTGTTTCCAGCTGATCTTCACTTTTCTTTTCCTTTTTGACTTTTGTTCAGGGTCTCCCTAGTAGTGCTCTACACCGGCAGTGCCAGGGAGCCCATGTGGTACTGAGGATCAGATCTGGGGCTCTCTGCCTGGCAGGCATGAATGAGCTCCAGCCCACTGACCACTAACTAGGGTCTCCAGCTCTAGACCATGAACTTGATTTTACTTATGAATTTGGAGGGAGTTTGGGGCCATACCCAGTGGTGCTCAAGGGTCACTCTTGGCAATGCTCAGGAGGACCATTTGCAATGCTAGGGATTGCTGAACTGGGCTCAGCTGCACGCAAGGCAATGTTTTATGCCCTCGAGACTACATCTCCAGCCTCTAAACCATAAACTTCATAGCACCAACTACAGGAATAAAAGTCAATCGACCCACTCCAAACTGCTATGGGGCAAGGAGGGGAGAGCTAAGAGAATGAGAACTCACACCAACCACATGGAAGTGGGTCATTACAAATGAAAACCAAACATGCACGCTGCATGTCCAGGCCAGTGTGGCCCATGGTCTGTCTCTCTCTCTCTCTCTCTCTCTCTCACACACACACACACACACACACACACACACACACGCTCTGGCCTTGGTCTGCTACACAGCATACATACGGGCACACACAGACATGGCGCATCCCACTCGACTGTCTTTCCAGTTTACCATCCTAGGCTGGACCTCCCCACCTTATTACACCCCACCCCTCTCGCTGCGGACAAAATTTGGACAAAAGGTGCATGAAATGGGTTGCCACAAGGATGAGGGGAAGGCAAGGAGGTATGGGGAGAGAGGGTATGAGATTTGGGAGGCAGACAAGCAGGCTCCATAACAGGCATGCACATACACCCTTCTGAGCAGACCATCAGCCTGGGCACAGGGAGGGAAGGTGGGAGGGAAGGAGGGAGAGAGGGAGGGAGGGAGTGAAGGAAGAAGGAAGGAAGGAAGGAAGGAAGGAAGGAAGGAAGGAAGGAAAGAAGACTGGCTTCAGAGACAGGGACGGCCAGTGCTGAGGGGCATGAAGCCCAGGGCAAACCCCTGCCCACATGGGGGAGGAAGAGGAGGAGATGGAGGACTAAGCGACAACACAGCAACAAGCTCCACCTAGCAGTGGGGACACTGGCTCTGGGGTGAGCAGGCCTGGGTGCCCCAAGATTGGCAGACAGATGCAGCTCATATCCTGGGGGAAGGAGCGGGTGGCAGAGGGGCGAGAAGTTGACAGAGAGCAGCAGAGGTGGAGGAGAGGAGGAAGAGGCAGGCGGAAGAGAGGCTGAAGGGGACTATGGGCACCCTGGGTGGGCACCTCTCGAGGGAGCCGTGGGGTGGGGGACTGGTGGTGCCAGTGAGGCCTGGGAGGAGGCTGGGGTGTGGCACGGCTGGTGGTGAGGCAGATGACACTCTTCCTGCCCTCCCGCGGGGCTGCAGGGAGCAGATACTGAAATGCTCAGGACAGGCAGTGGAGGGCCAGTACTCTGCATCCCTGGCCGTGCTCGAAGGAGGGATGGAGCAGGCGGGGCTCTGAGCCTCTCTCTCTGGCCTGACCACCCGGGGGAAGGCAGGGAGACGTCTCCTTTCCCTGAATGTTGGGGCCTGTGCAAGGGAGGCCCTGGACACATGGGAAGATGCGGGGGACAGGGAGCCATGTATGGGCCGGGTAAGAGAAGAGCCAGGAAGCAGGGCTGGACTGGGCTGCTGGGATAAGGCTCTGCCCTGGGTCCAGGGCAGTGGCTGGGAGCACACGCTTCCTTCCTGTTGGTGGCCCCTGCCAGGGTGGAAGAGAGGCGGAGGGGTGGGGTGGGGGATGGGGGGTGTAGACACACCCGAAGCCAAGCAGAGGGCTCCGGTGTCTCCCAGGGTTCTGGCCAAGGTTCAGAGAGCATCTGGCCCTGCTGTGAGGGGAGGGGGCTTCCTTCGTTCCGGGGAGGAGGGGCAGCGGGGCAAGACAGCAGAGAGGGGCACAGGGAGGCGAGGAGAGAGGGAGGCGGCGGGAGAGCTCACCTTCTGCGCACCCAAGAAGGCGTGGCAGTGACATGAGACATTAGGTCACATGGCCTCCCTCCACATCTGCACAGAGAAGGAGAAGAGGTTGAGAGGAGAAAGGAGGCGGCGGCCCAGAGTCTACCCCAACAGCTACGGTGGCCAGAGAGCACGAGACAGATGGAACAGGAGGGAAGGGGCGCAGAGAGAGAGAGAGAGAGAGAGAGAGAGAGAGAGAGAGAGAGAGAGAGTGGAGGGGGTGGTGTTGGGGGGAGGATAGTGGAGTAGGGGGTAGGAGAGCGGACGGACGGTCCGAGACAGGGCAGAGGGGGTGCACCCAGCATGCACTTCAGGACGTCACTCAGCCGGCGGCGTGCAGGGAGGGGGGTGTTCCTGAGCACCAGCAGGGCCCCCAGTGCAGGCCCAACCTGGGTTCTGCTGGGGACCGGAAGTTGTGCCGTTGGGGGTCCTGCCTGGAGGAGGGAGATCCCGGCAGGGAGGGGCTTCTGCGTACCCATGCTGAGCCTCTGGATGAACCGTGTGTGCAACCTGAGAACTGGGCTTCAGCCTCAGGCTTCCCCGAAAGAAGGGGCTGGGTTATGTGAAGGGGTACGCACCAGCCCACCTCTGGCCTTCCTGCCCTGGCCTGCACTGACCACCGGGAGAGCCGCGTGACCTCACGTGAGTGAAGCTGTGGGGCAGAGAAGAAGCTCCCGGGGCCCAAAGTGGGGGAGCAGAGAGATTTGCTCAACCATCCCTGAGAGCAGGAAGAAGGGGCTTTTGGACACCTTAGCAAACCAGGTGAGAGGAGGAAGACAGAAAACCCTCTCCCCAGATCTGCCTCCCCAGGGGTTGCCGGCGTAAGGGGTGGCCCCGGCTCCTCCTCGGCTGACTTCACACGGGAATCAGCCACCCGGGTCCCAGAGGGGCGCTCAGGCCCATCCTCAGAGGCAGGGGAGGAGGAGGGTGCCAAGGTGCAGGGGGGAGTGGGGTTGAGCCCTCATTCCCGCTGGGGCTCACTCTAGCCAAGACACAGACCAGCCGATTCCCGCGAGGAGAGAGGTGGGGAGAGGAGCAGGGTGGGCGGTGGGGGACGCATGTCTTAGGGTCTGGCAGGGGGTGCGGGGGACAAGGAAGGAAGGAGTCGGGGCAGGTACCTTCTGGGCTCCAGAGAAGGCGTGGTAGAAGCTGGACACGTACGTCATGATGGCCTTCTCGTCTGGGCGGGCAGTTCCGACGATGTCTGTCAAGATAAAGCTGGAGTGAGAGCCAGGCAGGGCAGGGGGTGGGGGGTGGGGTGGAGGGGAGCATATCGGCCACCTCTTGATGTCATGTGGAAAGGAGCCACAGAAGTGCCAAGAGAGCTGGGCCCCATTTCTGGAGAAAGATCCTGAATCTGATCAGCTGACACCACCCACTTTGACGTTCAGTAAGAGAAAAATTAGAGGATGAAACCAGGGTGATAGGACAGTGGATAGGACACTTGCCTTGCATGCACCTGGCCCGGGTTCAATCCCCAGCAGCCCATATGGTTCACTGAGCAACATCAGAAGTGATCCCTGAGCTCAGAGCTAGGAGGAAACCCTGGGCATCGCCAGGTATGACCCCAAAATAGAGAGAGAGAGAGAGAGAGAGAGAGAGAGAGAGAGAGAGAGAGAGAGAGAGAGAGAGAGAGAGAAGGAACTAAGGACGAAGGAAGGAAGGAAGGAAGGAAGGAAGGAAGGAAGGAAGGAAGGGGGGCCAGAGAGATAGTACAAGAGGTTGGGTGTTTGCCTTGCACATGGCCAACCCGAGTTCAATTCCCAGCATCCCATATGGTCCCCTGAGCACTGCCAGGAACCATTCCTGAGTTCAGAGCAGGAGTTAACCTTGAGCATTTCTGGGTGTGACCCAAAAAGAAAAAAAAAATAAAAGGAGTTGTGGGAGAAGGGAGAGTGAAAAGAAAGAAGGCAGAGAAGGCAGTGGGATGGGCCCTGAGGAAGTGCCACAAAGCCCCAAATCAAGAACACTGTACAAAACAGCTGGGCCAGTTTCTGCAACAAGCTCAGAGGCAAGAGAGCAACATGTGAGCTCACAGAAAGCCAGCCTTGGTGGCATCCTGCTTCAAACACATTGGCTTTCGAAAGACACAGCCAGGGTAACTGGCCTGTGCACTGAGCTGCAAAGGCTCCGGGAAGGAGGGTTGATTTGCAAGGTGTGAAAACTAGAGATGCAGAAGATCCCAACTTTCAAGATCCCAATTTCGAGGCAGGGACAAGCTGTACTGTCTCGGAGGTACTTTGAAATATTTTGGTGAAACAATACAAAACAAATTTTAAAAAAGTGTGAGTTATCTCAAGGATTGGCATAAACTGAACTCCCAGTGTAAGACATTCATCATGAGACCAAGTAATGAAGCTGGCATGAACCCCCTATGGTTCAACTTCCGGCACTGCGTGGTTCCCCAAACATTGCAGGGCACGGCCTGGGGACCCTCAGCACTGTCAGGTGGGGCCCAGGGCATCTCTGGCATTCAGTGTGGCATCCCCAGGGCCCTCAGCACAATGGCTTGACTGAGGAACCATGAGCAGGGCCCCCAGACCTCCCAAGTGCTGCTTGGGGAGACCCCTCTACCTCCCCTAAATTAAGTTCATTTTACGCTCCTCTCTACTCCATGTCCGTTTGACAAGAGCTCCACGCGCAGACCCAGTGCAGATGCCCGGGCTCTCACTAAACCCCACCCCACCCCACACCCCAGCTTTCCCCCAAGTGCCTTTCTCCCATGAAGTTAGGCGTGTTGACCCATGGTCTTCAACCACTGGATTGGTCATCAGTAGTGGTCAGTAGAAAGGCTGGAAACCATGAGTCTCCCCACTGTCTGGGTTTACACCTGCCAATCTGTGGGCGGGTTTGGAGGGCAGGTGCTGACCCACAGGGGTAATCAGGTTGAAGAACTCTGGTGCAGACCCCAAACCCTAACCATGAATGAAGTGCCCAACATTGAGAGTCCCCAGATCTGCCACATGTTAGCAAGCTTCTGTTAACAAAAATTTTAATTTGATCTACCATATTCTACCACATAATCACATACATGGCATTTTTAAGTAGTATTGGCAAATGGTTCCCCCCAAAAGCATCACGTGCAATGGTTGTACTCACTCTGTACTTTTGCAAAACAAAACAAACCAAAGCAAAGCAAAATCCAAAAACAAAATCTGGGACACACTTGCAGTTGACTTCAGCACCCCTGACCACCTCCAAAAGGGATCCCTGGGGCTGGAACGATAGCACAGTGGGTAGGGTGTTTGCCTTGCACGCAGCCGACCCGGGTTTGATTCCCAGCATCCCATATGGTCCCCTGAGCACCGCCAGGAGGAATTCCTGAGTGCAAAGCCAGGAGTAACCCCTGCGCATCGCCGGGTGTGACCCAAAAAGGAAAAAAAAAGGGATCCCCGAGCACAGAGAGCCAGGAGTTAGCCCTGAACACCATAGGGGGTGGCCCCATCCCCCAAACACACGTAAAATCCATGACAATTATGCAGTGAAATGCAGTAACTTACTGGTCCTCCTCAATTCCCCCCCTTACCCCCGAGAACCTAGGAGACTGGAAATATTCTTCTATCAGCCTTCAACAAAGCACAACCAACTCCACCCTGAGACAAAGAGTTCAGGAGGCAATCAAGGCAGAAACATCCCCAAAATCCTTTTCAGGACCAGCTCTCATCTCTTCCATCAAACCTCAGGGAAGTACAAGATCAGAGGAAGCAGCAGGTGCCCTCGCCCTCAAATGCCTTCCTCCTGGCTGCAGGACCCCAGATTGATTTTTTTGATTGACGAAAATTGAATTTTCATGAGGAGGAATCAGCGGCATGCAGACGGGAGGGGTCAGGAGGCCCCCAAGGGAAAGTGCCTTTACCTTCCGCGTCCAGCATCTTGGGGATGTCCAGGTACTTCTCGGCCACGTCAAAGGCTGTGTTGAGGTTTGTGAGCGGGTCATCCTGGAGGGAGGGTTGGGGGAGGGAGACAGTGAGAGGGGAACCAAATCTCTGCTTATTCCCCTCAGGGTGACCCTCCCCCCCATCTGGGCTGGGGGGTGTCAGAAGACACTGGCTTGGCCAGGTCTGGGTGTGGAAGGCTGCTCCAGCTGGGGGCGTACCACACCATCTCTCCTCAAGTCTGTGAGAGAAAAAGGGTGAGCGATGCAGATCAGCCGTCCACAAAGGGGCTCCCAAGGTCCGTGTGTGAAGGGCTGGGCCCAGGTCTGGGTACTGTCTGTCTCAGCCTCTGGTTTCAGCTCTGACCCCCTGTCAGTGGGACTCATGACCTCATGGGGCCTCAGTTTCCCCAGATGCACTCAGCAGCTAGGTCAGGAGCTTTTTTTTTTTTTAATTTTTTTTTATTAGTGAAACACCATGAGGTACAGTTGTAGATTTACAATTTTTTGTGCTTGGGTTTGATTATACAATGATCAGATACCCATCCCTCCACCAGTGCCCATTTTCCACCACCATGGATAATATCCCCCCCACCCCCATCCCCCCATCCCCCCATCCCCCCTGCCTCTGTGGCAGGGCAATCCCCTGTGTTCTCTCTCTCCTTTTGGGTGTTGTGGTCTGCAAAAGAGGCATTGAGTGGCAAACATGTTCAGTCCATAGTCTACTTTCGACATGCATCTCCCCTCCTGGGAGGATCCTCCAAACACCCTTTATTTGGTGTTCCCTTCTCTATCTGAGCTGCCCTTTCCTCTAGAATGCCCGACTGGCCACTAAGCTATGGAGTAATCCTCCTGGTGCTGATCTCAGCTATTCTTGAGTATTAATCTCATATTTTGTTACTTTATATCCCCCAGATGAATGCAATCTTTCTATGTCTATCCCTCTCTTTCTGACTCATTTCACTTAGCATGATACTTTCCATGTTGTACCACTTGTATGTAAATTTCATGACTTCATCTTTTCTAACAGCTACATAGTACTCCATTGTGTAGATGTACCAAAGTTTCTTTAACCAGTCATCTGTTCTTGGGCATTCAGGTTTCTTCCAGTTTCTGGCTATTGTAAAGAGTGCTGCAATGAACAAACAAGTGCAGATGTCACTTTGACTATACATTTTTGCCTCTCTGGGATATATTCCCAGAAGTGGTATTGCTGGGTCAAATGGGAGCTCAATTTCTAATTTTTTGAGAATCGTCCATACTGTTTTCCAGAAGGGCTGAACCAGTCGACATTCCCACCAACAGTGAAGGAGTGTCCCTTTCTCGCCACATCTGCGCCAGCAATGGTTGCTTTTGTTCTTTTGAATGTGGGCCAGTCTCTGAGGTGTGAGATGGTATCTCATTGTGGTTTTGATCTGCATCTCCCTGATGATTAATGATGTAGAGCATTTTCTCATGTGCTTTTTTGCCATTCGGATTTCTTCTTTGAGAAAGTTTCTGTTCATTTCATTGCCCCATTTTTGGATGGGGTTGGATGTTTTCTTCTTGTGGAGTTTAACCAGTATTTTGTATATCCTGGATATCAACCCCTTGTCAGATGTGTATTCGGTGAATATCCTTTCCCATTCTGTAGACTGTCTTTGTATTTTGGTCACTGTTTCTTTGGAGGTGCAGAAGCTTCTTAGTTTAAGATAGTCCCATTTATCTATCTCTGTTTTCACTTGCTCGGCCAGTGGCGTGGCATCTTTGAAGATACCATTAGCGTCAATGTCATGGAGGGTTTTGCCAACTTTATCTTCAATGTACCTTATGGTTTCTGGTCTGATGTTGAGGTCTTTCATCCATTTTGATCTTACTTTTGTACATGGTGTTAGGCAGAGTTCTGAGCCTATTTTTTTGCATGTAGCCGTCCAGTGATGCCAACACAATTTATTAAAGAGGCTTTCCTTACTCCACTTCACATTACTTGCACCTTTATCAAAGATTAGATGATCATATGATTGAGGGGAGATGTCAGTGTATTCAACCCTGTTCCATTGGTCTGCAGTTCTGCCTTTGTTCCAGTACCATGCTGTTTTAATTATTACTGCTTTGTAGTACAGTTTGAAGTTAGGGAGGTTGATTCCTCCCATTTTCTTTTTCCCAAGAATTGCTTTAGCTATTCGTGGGGGCTTATTGTTCCATATAAATTTCAGGAGTGTTTGCTCCATTTCTTTGAAGAATGTCATGGGTATCCTAATAGGGATTGCATTGAATTTATACAATGCTTTGGTAGTATTGCCATTTTGACAATGTTAAGTCTCCCGACCCATGAGCAGGGGATATCTTTCCATTTCCTCATGTCCTCTTTTATTTCCTGAAGTAGCGTTTTGTAGTTTTCTTTGTACAGGTCCTTTACTTCCTTAGTTAAGCTGATTCCTAGGTACTTGATTTTCTGGGGCACAATTGTGAACGGGATTTTTTTTTTCATGTTGCTTTCTTCTCTCTCACTGTTTGCGTATAGGAAAGCCATGGACTTTTGGGTATTGATTTTATAACCTGCAACTTTACTATACGAGTCTATTGTTTCTAGGAGTTTTTTGGTGGAGGTTATTGGGTTCTCTAAGTAGAGTATCATATCATCTGCGAATAGTGAGAGCTTGATTTCTTCCTTTCCTACCTGAATGCCCTTAATATCTTTTTCTTGCCTAATCGCTATTGCAAGTACTTCCAGTACTATATTGAACAGCAGTGGAGAGAGTGGGCATCCCTGTCTCGTCCCTGATCTTAGAGGGAAGGCTCTCAGTTTTTCCCCATTGAGGATGATGCTTGCTGTAGGCTTGTGGTAGATGGCTTTAATTATGTTGAGGAAGGTCCCCTCTATACCCATTTTGGCTAGGGTTTTCATCATAAAGGGGTGCTGGATCTTGTCAAATGCTTTTTCTGCATCTATTGATATAATCATATGCTTTTTATCTTTTCTTTTGTTGATATGATGGATTATGTTGATTGATTTTTGAGTGTTAAACCATCCTTGCATCCCTGGGATGAATCCTACTTGGTCATGGTGTATGATCTTTTTGATGAGTAGTTGGATTCTATTTGCTAGTAGTTTGTTGAGGATCTTTGCATCTGTGTTCATCAGGGATATCGGCCTGTAATTCTCTTTCTTTGTGGTATCTCTGTCTGCTTTTGGTATCAGTGTGATATTTGCTTCGTAGAAACTGTTCGAAAGTGTTTTTGATATTTCAATTTCATGGAAAAGCTTAAAGAGCATCGGGAGTAAGTCCTCTTTAAAGATTTGGAAGAATTCACTAGTGAATCCATCCGGGCCAGGACTTTTGTGCTTGGGGAGACTTTTTATTACCATTTCAATTTCCTTGATGGTGATAGGTCTGTTCAGGTATTCCAGGTCTTCTTGGTTCAGCCTTGGGAGTCTGTAGGAGTCTAGGAATTTATCCATTTCCTCGAGGTTCTGATGTTCCGTGGCATAAAGCTTCTCAAAGTACTCCCTGAGGATCCTCTGAATTTCTGTGGTTTCTGTTGTAATGACCCCCTTTTCATTTCTGATTCGGTTTATTAGGGTTTTCTCTCTCCCTTTCTTTGTGAGTTTTGCTTGAGGCTTATCGATCTTGTTAATTTTCTCAAAGAACCAGCTTTTGGTTTCATTGATCTTTTGGATTGTTTTTTGGGTTTCCATCTTGCTAATCTCTGCTCTGAGTTTTATTATTTCCTTTCTCCTGTTCGGGTTGTGCTCCTTTTTTTGGTCCTTCTCCAAGCTCTTAAGCTGTGAGGTTAGGTTACTTATGTGTGCTCGCTCCTCCTTCCTGAGGAATGCTTGTAGAGCTATAAACTTTCCTCTTAACACAGCCTTTGCTGTGTCTCATAAGTTTTGGTAACTCGTGTTCTCATTTTCATTCATTTCTAGGAATCTTTTGATTTCCTCTTTGATTTCCTGTCTAATCCACTCATTGTTCAATAGTGCACTGTTTAATTTCCAGGTGTTTGATTTAGTTTTCTGTTTTTGTGTGTGATTTACTTCTAATTTCAGCGCATTATGGTCTGAGAAGATTGTTGATACAATCTCTATCTTCTTAATTTTATGGAGGCATGTTTTGTGGCTCAGCATGTGGTCTATCTTGGAGAATGTTCCATGTACGCTTGAGAAGAATGTGTATTCAGCTTTTTGTGGATGAAGTGTCCTGTATATATCTACTAAGTCCCTTTCTTCCATTGTTTCCCTCAAATGAAGTATGTCCTTGGTAAGCTTGAGTCTGGTTGATCTATCAAGAGGTGACAAAGCAGTGTTGAAGTCTCCCACTAGTATTGTGTTGCTATTGATGTCTTTTTCCAAATCTATGAGTAGTTGTTTTAAGTACTTTGCTGGTCTCTCATTAGGTGCATATACATTTATTATTGTAAGTTCTTCCTGTTGTACAGATCCTTTGATCAATAAAAAATGGCCTTCACTGTCTCTTATGACCTTCCTCACTCTGAAATCGATGTGGTCTGATATAAGGATGGCTACCCCAGCTTTTTTATGGGAGCTGTTTGCCTGTAGGATTGTTTTCCAGCCTTTGACTCTGAGTCTGTGTTTGCTTTGACTATTGAGATGCGTTTCTTGCAGGCAGCAGAATGTTGGGTTCAATTTTCTAATCCATCCTGCCACTCTATGTCTTTTAATTGGTGCGTTTCGCCCATTGACATTGAGAGAGATTATTGTTATGGGATTTTGTCCCACTGTTCTGTTAAAATTTGGTGTATTTGAGGGGCCTTTCTTGCCTTAACGTAGCCCATTTAGTTGTTCTTGTAACCATGGTTTTGAGTCTATGAAGTTCCTGAGCTGTTGTTTGTCTGTGAAACTGTGTATTGTTCCTTCTATTATGAATGAGAGTCTTGCTGGGAAAAGTATTTTTGGGGAGGCATTTATTTCATTGAGTTTTTTCACTATGTCCCACCACTGTTTTCGGGCCATGAGGGTTTCATCAGAAAAAATCAGCTGTGAATTTTAAGGATGCTCCTTTGTAAGAGATTTCTTTCTTCGATCTTGCTGCTTTCAGAATTTTGTCTCTGTCTAAGGTTTTGGTCATTTTGATCAGAATGTGTCTTGGGGTATTTTTATTCGGATTTCTTCTAGCTGGTACCCTTCGGGCCTGGTCAGGAGCTCTTAAGCCTCTTCCATGCTCACATCCCATGAAAGTTTGGGGCTGCTTCTAAAAGAAACCACGACCTTCTCAGGAGAACTTCACCGGGTCTGGAAGGAGGCAAAGCCAGTCAACACGCCTTTCTTCATGGGAGAAAGGCACTTGGGGAGGGCTGGAGTGACAGCACAGTGGGTAGGGTGTTTGACTTGTACGCGGCCAACCCAGGTTTGATTCCTAGCATCCCATATGGTCCCCTGAGCACCGCCAGGAGTAATTCCTGAGTGCAGAGCCAGGAGTAACCCCTGAGAGCCTGGGCATCTGCACTGGGTCTGTGCACGGGGCCCTTGTCAAACGCACATGGAGCAGAGAGAGGCGTAAAGTGAATTTCATTTGGGGGGAAAGTGGGGGCCCTCCAAGCAGCACTTGGGGGATCTGGGGGCCCTGCCCATGGTTCTCAGTCACTCGGAGCCATCAAGCCATCATGCAGTTCTATGCACTGCTCATAGGACTCTAAGGGTGCAGCTGGGCAGGAACGCCGGATGTAGGGTCCTTCAAAGGACCCTGAATCCATGAAAGTTAGCGGTTCCTTTCTAGGTCTGTATCTGGAAGAGTAGAAATGCATACTACAGGGCTATGGCAACCCCCAGCCCACAGCAGTCTAGGCAAGGATGGGGTCACCACTGCCTATCTACTGACATCAATGACATGCTGTCTACCCACCCATCAGAACATCATCCGCCTTGGCAAGATACTCATAGCATCCTTATTTTTGGTCTTTCTACGCCTCAAGTAGTCCAGTTCAGACCGAGAGTTAGATGGGTGATTGCAAGAGGCTGAAGAAGGGGCGAGGGGGAGCGGAAGAGGGCTCAGGGCTTTAGTTCTGCAAGATGGGAAGAGCTCATATTCCCACGGACAAAGCCCAGGAGACAAAAGGAGGAAGTGCCGCCCCTCTGAGACTGCTGCAGAGGGGCCTGGGAGTTTCCTGGGGGGCTGTGCAGGGCCGCGGGGATGCATGCGGGGAGGCCGCAAGGTTTTCCTCTTACTCCTACCTGGCTCTCTCCTAGGCAAGTCTAAGAATGATACTGTGGAGGTAGAGAGAGCAACGAGCTAAGTACAGGTGGGGATGTGGACTCTACCCCCAGCACCGCATGGCCCCCACCCCTGCCCTGGCACCACAGCCAAGACCCTCCAGCACTGAGCTTAGAGAAGCCTCCGCACATTGCTAAGTGTGAACAGAATGAAAGAAAACAGAATGACACCTCCCGGGCTGGGCTCTGAGAACAGGGGCCCACAGCCACCCTTTCCCCTCAGCCCCTGAGGCCCAGATGCTGGCTGAGGTGGGGGGCTACCACTACCACGTACCTTCCTCAGCTTCCCGTAGTCTATGAGCTCGGGCCGGTGTCGGTGGATCAAGGCACAGAAGCCGAGGCCGTCCTTCCAGCTGCCGGGAGAGAAGGTGGAGCAAGAAAGAGGATGAAGGGGCTGGAGCGATAACACAGCGGGAAGGGCATTTGCCTTGCACATGGAAGACCCGGTTCGATTCCCAGCATCCCATATGGTTCCCTGAGCACCGCCAGGAGTAACCCCTGTGCATCGCTGGGTGAGACCCAAAAACCAAAAAAAAAAAAAAGAGGATGAAGGCTGACCTAGGACAGAAGCAACCGGCTTCTTCCAGGGAGGAAGAGGTAATGCTTCACTCAGACAGGACATGGGGTTGAGGATGCACATGTCGGGGAGGACCATGTCTTCCTGTCATGGCCTGGTACATGGGGGGGGGGGGGGCAAGGCTCTGCAGGACACTGGGTATATGGTGAGATTTTTAAAAAGCCATCATGCCACGCCAAGGTCATGACCCTCTCTGTTTCGGAGCACCAGGCGGGAACAACCTTGGGAATGGGCAGACACTGCCCTCGGGAACTGCTCAGGAGCACAGATACTAACTGCTGTCAAAGTCACTCGGGCAGCCCCAGGGGACACTGATATTTTTTTTTTTAATTATTTTATTTTATTTTTTATTAGTGAAACACCATGAGGTACAGTTATAGACTTATAAATTTTTGTGCTTGGGTTTCAGTTATACAATGATCAAGTACCCATCCCTCCACCAGTGCCCATCCTCTACCACCACGGGTCCTAGCATCCCTCCCACCCCCCATCCCCCCCGTCCCACCCTACCTCTGTGGCAGGGCATTCCCCCTTGTTCTCTCTCTCTTCTTTTGGGTACTGTGTTTTGCAAGAGGGGCATTCAGTGGCAATCATGTTTGGTCTATAGACTACTTTCAGCATGCTTCTCCCACCCTGGGAGGGTCCTCACAACACTCTTTATTTGGTGCTCTCTTCTCTATGTGAGCTTCCTTTTTCAACTAGCACGTGTGGCTGGCCTTCCAGTCATAGAGCAAAATTCCTGGTACTAATCTCAGCCATTCCTGAGTGTTAGTCTCCCATTTTGTTGCTTTATGTTCCCCAGATGAATGCAATCTTTCTGTGTCTATCCCGCTCTTTCTGACTCATTTCGCTTAACATGATACTTTCCATGTAGTACACTTGTATGTAAATTTCATAACTTCATCTTTTCTAACAGCTACACAGTACTCCATTGGGGACACTGATATTCTAAACTGAAAACAGAGTGCAGTGGGTAGGGCGCTTGCCTTGCACAGGGCAGACCCAGGTTTGATTCCCCGTCCCCCATCTGGCCCCTGAGCACCACCAGGAATGCTCCCTTTAGCACAGAGCTAGAAGTAAGTGCTGAGCACCTTCTCCCAGTCCTTGACGCCTCCTTCCACCAGCGCCTCTGCCCAACTCCTGAGTGGTGAGGGACCCCGTGAGCAGGCCAGGGCATGCTGGAGCCCGAGCCGGAGGGTGGGGGAGGGGGGTGGCGCTCACCTGATGTGGAAGTTCTGGATGTTGACATTCTTGTAGGGGGCCGTCTTCCTCTGACACCACAGCAGCAGCCCCTCCTTGGCAGACGTCTCTGCGGGGAAAGGGATGTGAGCACAGAGGGCAGCGGGCTTGCTTGGTGGAAGGAGCCCCACAGTGGGCATGGGGTCTGTGTTCTGTCACATGGAGTAGGGACATGGGGGGGGCCACACAACATCATCCCCCCCCCCCCCGGCCAGATTCCAACCCTGCTGCTGCCAGGCCACTGGGTCTATTTTCTAGACCTTATTTAAGCACTTACCTGAGAGACACAGATGCAGGCTAGGAGCTTTGGCAGAGAGGAACAGACACACTTGCCGTCCAGCCCGGGACAGAAAGGGATTATTTCCCTACCACTCGCTTTTGAAGACTGAGGGGCCGGAGCAATCATACAACAGGTTGGATACTTGTCTTGTATGCCTACCCGGATTTAACCCCTGGCCTCCCAAACAGTCCCCCCTGAGCCCTACCAGGAGTGATCCCGGAGGACCGAGCCAGGAATCAGCCCAGAGCCCCACTGGGTATGGCCCTCCCCAAACAAACAAAAGCCTCCAGAAGTGATACAAAGTAAACAGATGACCACTCTGGAGAGACAAATCCAAAGCACTCCAGAAAGGGGCATGCATGCCGACAGGGCATCGAGGCCAGGAGAAGGAGGGAGGCGTCAAAATGCCTCATCAGACTTAGCCTTCATCTGAAAAGTCAGGCTACCTTTTATTCAATGCATGGGTGGAGGGCACTGACGATGTGTCCCGTGGACCAGGCTCTGCAGATATGGAAGGGTTCCCAGGCAGCGCCAAGCACAGAGGGTGGCAAACCACACCACCCTACATGGGTATGGTGTCTCCAGCAGGTCAATCTGTACCTGTGAGGCATGTGCATCAGCAGCCTCATGGCTCCTTCAGACTTTTAGATACCCCAAAATTGCTGCTGTGCCTTTGACCAGACCCCAAAATCTTGGGGCAAAGTTTACCAAAAAAGTAAACGGCCAAAAGTTAGGTATGTGGGAGACACACCCACAAACCACCTCTAGCTCAGCTATATACTTGGAGGCATGGCCTCTCTGGTTCCTGATTGAACTGCCTAACGGCCATGATCCCAAAGACTCAGAAACAAATCTCAAAACCCAACGGCTTTTGGCAGAAATGCGACCGGTCCCTGCAGTAGGCTACCAGTGCTGGGTCACCCCAGGTGGGAATAGGTTTTGTGCCTTGGCCTGTTCCCCCTGGCGGCTCGGGGGCCGCCATCCACCAGAGACCATTGGACAGTCAGGTTTGGGCCTGCAGTGATGAGACACATGGGGCCTCATGGAATGGGGGTGGAGCTGGCCCTTTCCTCCCCACCTCAATGAGACTGTGAGTCACCGCCCACGAATGGCCTCTCTGGCTCCTGATCAAGCTGCTTAATGGCCATGATCCCAGAGACTCAGGAACAGATCTCAGAACCTAGCAGGTTTTGGCAGGAAACCTTTCCAGATTTAATTGCTAAAATTTTGGAATTTCAAAATTGCACAGCCACTGTGCGACATCATATATTATTCATGACCAGCATTAGAAAACAAATTTTCTACTGTTGCCTTTTCAGCAGACCTGAGTGTTGGGGTAAAATCCCAAATAATAATGATGGGTGTGGTGTCGAAATGTTGAATGTAATCAAAGTAGAGAGAGAGTGATTTGGAAGTCATCTGCCCCACAGGTCAGGAGAGGGATGGAGGTAAAGGTAAAGGTAAAGGCCCTCCCGTTGATCATCGATTTGCTCGAGCGGGCCCAGTAACGTCTCCATTGGAGACTTTGTTGTTACTGTGTCTGGCATATCAAATACTCTCGGTAGCTTGCCGGGCTCTCCCAGGGATGGAGGTATACTGGGGTTTTTGGTGGTGGAGAATGGGCACTGGTGAAGGTACAGTTGTTTCATTGTATGACCAAGACTTAAACCCGAAAGCTTTGTTATTGCTCTCATGGTGATTCAATAAATATAAAAAAATGGGGGGAAAAAAGTAAGGTGGAGTTCATGAAAAATACAATCAACCTAATCAGTGGCTGAATAAATAGCAGTATTCCTACGTAAAAAATAAATAAATAAATAAAATGTTGGTTTTAGGGCCAGAGCGACAGTACAGTGGGTAGGGCAACTGGCTGGTCATGCACGAAGCCAACCTGGGTTCAATCCCTGGTGTCTAATCTGGTCCCTGGAGCAGACTACCTGGCTCTGCACTTGGTAACTACCTGGAGTTGTTACCGAGTGCAGAGCCAGGAGTAATCCCTGAACATCACTGGGTGTGATACCCCAAACCAAAAGAGGAAAATCCAATAAAAAAAATGCTGCTGCATTCTAAAATATTGGGTTCAAAGTGAACAGGTCATGTAGACAATAATGACTGATCTCATTTACTTTCAGTTCATAAAGTAGACTTTGTAATGACAAACAATTCTTGCAAGGATAATTTAATACTTCAAGCACTGCAATAATTTAAAAATAAAGTTTCTTCTCTTAGCTCAAGCTCTTCAGAATTATGACGGGATTAAAATAATTATTAGAGTTGACAAGTAGTCAGCCCAAAAGAAGCCAAGTCATCAAGAAGGCTAGTGGAAAAATAGACCAAGGTCTTCTGTCAATAGACCTACCCTCAGGGACCACCTTTCCATCTTTGTAGCTGATTCAGTCTTAAAAAGCAATTAGCAAATAGACTGAGACTCTCATGTGGTTAGATCACCAAGTCTCATACCAAGAGTTTTATATCTGTAGAAAACCAACTGGTGGATTAGAGAGATTGTGCAGCGATAAAGGCTCTTGCCCTGCATGTGACTGACCCGGTTCAATTAACAGCCCTCCACAGTATGGTCCCTGAGCCCTACCAGGAGTGATTCCTGAGCACTGCTGGATGGAACCTGTTAAAACATTATCTATCATTTTATAATCATCACAGCATATATACTAAGTTATTACAAAGTAAATACAAGCACGTCAAATAAATTAGCTCAAAATCTGCTGGAATATAGATGAAACTAAATTTAGAGATCACAGTCCTAGACCATGGAGGCCTCTTGCAGACAGGAAAGGTGACCGGCAGGGGGCGCTAGGGGAGCACAGTATAGAACTTGGTCAGGGCTAAGACTCGCTTCCAGAGCTCAGACTCACCTTCCACAGAGATGTCCTGGATGGCAAAGCGAAGGATGATGGTCCAGATCATGCCCAGGGTCATTTTCACATTTCCATCGACGATTTCTGTACAAACAGCAGCAGAAGTCATCAGAATGACTTCGGCAAGGCAGAGGTAACAGCCCCTGCACTCCTGCGTTTGTGACTTTGCTTAGGAAATTAAAGACTATGTGTCTGCTTCTGAAAGGGCATCCTTGGAAAACAGTGTGGTATATCTTTAAAAAAAACAAAACAAAACAAAATGGGCTGGAGCAATAGCACAGAGGGTAGGGCGTTTGCCTTGCACGCAGCCAACCTGGGTTCGATTCCCAGCATCCCATATGGTCCCCTGAGCACCACAAGGAGTAATTCCTGAGTACATGAGCCAGGAGAAACTCCTGTGCAATGCCAGGTGTGACCCAAAAAGAAAAAAGAAAAGAAAAGAAAAGAAAAGTAAAACAAACAAAATGCAACTGGTCCCCAGGCCTGCGGTACAGTGGTGCAGGGCCTGCCTGGCAGGGACCAGGCTGACAGATTTGGTCCCCGGAAGTAAAATGTGTGAAATGTCCACAACCAAGTACGTGATGCCCACTGGGTTTCTGAAACTGCAGAGAAGGGAAAGGAAGGGGGTAACGGGAAGCTATCAGAGTTGGGAGATGGTACAAGGGTTAAGGCACTTGCCTGGCATGTAGCTGACCCTGGTTCTATGCCTGGCACTGCATCTGTGCCCCCCCCCAGCCCCGCCCTCCACCCAGCACCACTAGCAGTCACTCCTGAGCATAGAGCCAGAAATAGTCTCAAGTCATTGCCAGGTACGGCCCCCAGCTCCACTTCCCCTTAAAAAAAAAATCAGTTTTAAAAAACAAAGTTACTAATCGATCACGTGATCCAACCATCCCACTCTTGGGGATTCATCCAAAGAAAGCAAAAACACTAATACAAAAAGACAGATGAACAAGTATGCACTCGTATTCACCGCGGCCTGGATGAGGGCAACACGGCCATGAGGAGATGACGGGGAGCATACAAAGGGACCACCTCCCCAGAGCCTATGCCTGCCAGGTCTGCATCCCATAACCCCACCCTAAAGGAGAGTGGAATGGGGTGGGGAGATTTGCCTTTGCATACAGCTAACCTGGGTTCAATCCCTGGCATTCTAGATGTTCCTCTAAGCCCCAACAGGAGTGATCTCTGAGTGCAGAGTCAGAAGGAAGCCCTGAGCACTGTAGGGAATAGTCCCCCAAAACAAGAACAAAATAGAGCAGAATGCATTAGCAAAGCTGGACTTTAAGATCTCATCGCCTTCTGCAAAGCACTTTAGCACTGTCCTCCCGTTGTTCATCGAGTTGCTTGAGTGGGCACCAGTAACGTCTCCATTGTGAGACTTGTTGTTTCTGTTTTTCGGCATATCGAATATGCCATGGGGAGCTTGCCAGGCTCTGCTGTGCGGGTGGGATACTCTCAGTAGCTTGCCAGGCTCTCTGAGAGGGACAGAGGAATCGAACCTGGGCCGGCCGCGTGCAAGGCAAACACTCGACCTGCTGTGCTCTAGTCCCGCCTGGCTAGTCTGAAAGTAGTGAGTGGTCACAAGGTCAACCTAAAGTCAACCTGCTTTCTGCAAAAGGGAGGCAAAACTTGCTGCTGCACATCAAGGTTAGTCACTGGGACCGCTGGGGTGGGGCAGTGGGGCGGGGCACCTGTACTGAGCATGCAGGAGGGCACAGAGAAGAGGAGAAACAGTGTCCACTTCGGACACAGTATAAATGTATCTGTTCCCCCTCACCAGGGGTCAGGGGCTTTCCCAGGGCCCCAGACACCTCCAGCAGAGGCCACAGTGCAGAGAGGAAATGTACCAGCACACATAACCCTGAACAAGTAAAACATCCAGCTGGCACTTTGCACAGAAGCGGGGGAGGGACGCGGAATCCACTAATCTGTAAGAATCTGTTCATAACGGCTTGAGATATATTTTTTAAACACCCTTTCATTTGCAGTCTCCAACGGTTCAGCCCCTGGTAATGCTGAAAGAATTTATAGAGATACAGCTAGAGATAAGGGAAAGACGAAACTCACAATGAAGAGTGAAAAGACATGAATGACTCAATCCTCCGTCAAACAGGGCATGCAAATAACTGGTATAAAAAGAATGTCCTGTCCCACTCATAGGTATGGAACTAAGATTATCTTCTTCCCTGCTCTTCAATGAGCCAAGTTAAAAAATGTGTGATGGAAGCAAGGTTGCCACATAGCAGCTGGAAGTGTAAGCAGGCGAAATACCAAACCAAGCAAAAAAAAAAAAAAAGCTTGTGGAAGATGGTTTGGCCACAGGGCGCTTGAAGCTGTGTGTCTGACAGTATTATTTTGCCTCAAGGACTCTTCCAACCCAAACCCAGAAGCATGGGTAAGGCGCTGGCTATCAGGTTCTTGAGGCTGGAGGTATGTGAGTTTGGAAAGGCTCAGGAACTCCTTAGACCCTTCTTCCGACTGAAAGCCTCACAGCTGGACCAGCACAGTAGATCCTCAGGCAAAGATTTTAGTAACATCAGTGTAAGACATAATAATGGTCACACACTGACTACTAATGGTCTAAGGTTTGATAATCCCATTTGCCTTTGGGTTGTAACAAACACTTGATCACTTGACACCCCGTTACTCATTGATTTGCTCGAACGGGCACCAGCAATGTCTCCATTCATCCCTGTCGTGTGCTAGTGAAGCCCAATGGCGTTTGCTTGTTCTAGGAACATTTAGAGCCTCAAACTGATCGTTCAGGGTCTTGACGAAGAAGTCTGACCATCTCGTAGGTGGATGGCCATGTGATCTTTAGATGTCCCATGGAATCCAGTCGGTAATGGCTCTAGTCCAGCGGTCATCTCCAAATCTCATTACATGTCCAGCTCATCTGATTTTTAATGCCTTGGCAAAAGAGACAGCATCCCTGATACTTGACCATCAATGGAGGTTGGAACTCCGGATTCTTTCTGTCATTTGAGTGAAGCGTGATACTCCAAGCATAGCTCTTACGATTCCTCTTTGAGAGACCCGAATAGCGTTCTCATCCTGTTTTTGTAGGGCCCAGGTCTCACGTAACAATAAAGGCCCTCCCGTTGATCATCGATTTGCTCGAAAGGGCCCAGTAACGTCTCCATTGGAGACTTTGTTGTTACTGTGTCTGACATATCGAATACGTCACGGGTAGCTTGCCTCACGTAACAATGCATGTAACAAACAGTATGAGGTAAATCTGTTTATGCCTGTGGGGTGGTGGGTATGACTGAAGACACTGGTGGAGGGAAGGTTTCACTAGTGATGGGATTGGTGTTGGAACATTTACGGCCATAAACAACTGTATTATGAACAACTTGGTAAATCGTGGTGTCAAAAATTTTTTGGGGGGGGGTTCACACCCAGCGATGCTCAGGGGTTACTTCTGGCTCTGCACTCAGGAATTACTCCTGTCGGTGCTTTGGGGGACCATATGGGATGCTGGGGGGTTGTGTGCAAGGCAAATGCTCTACCTACTCTACTACCTCTCTGGCTTCTTTGGTGTTAAAGTTTTAAAAACAAAACAAACACAATACTCCAGGGTTGGGCTGGGAGGTAATCAGGGTCAGAGGTGAGGAGTTCATTCGTGAGTGCCCATGGATCCCTGAGTACTGCTGGGACACAGCCCTGGAGACCCCCAAGTACCACAGGGGTGGCCCCAGTGGGTCCCAGCGTGAGCAGGGCTGCATCACTGGGCCCCAGGCCCCCTGGGCAATACTGGGGGAGGGGGGCCAGAAAGAAAACAAAGGAAACCCCCATGGATCCACCTCAGAGTCCCGACCCCCAGAAAACCACGACCCCCCCAAAGCGCTCCCCTGCCTGGCCTGTCCCTTCTGCCCTTCCCCATGAGACTCTCTTCAACCACCCAGGTTGTTCCCTGCATTACTTCTGCCATCTGACAGATCTGCAGCTTGTGCCCTTTCTGCAACATGCAAATGACAGTCAGCGGCTTTGAACTGGGCACAGAGGATGTTTCTAGCATGTAGACAGGGGGAGAAAAGGTGGGAGGGAGGGAGGGAGGAAGGGAGGGAGGAAAGGAGGGACGGAGGAAAGAGGGACAGAGGGAAGGAGGGATGGTGGGAAGGAGGATGGTGGGAAGGAGTAAGATATGGAGGGAAGGAGGGAAGGAGGGATGGAGTAAGATATGGAGGGAAGGAGGGAAGGAGGGATGGAGGGAGGGAGGGATAAAGGAAGGGAAGGAGAGAGAGAGGAAGGGAGAAAGGAGGATGGGAAGGAGGGATGGATAAGGGGAGGGAGGGATAGAGGCAGGCAGGCCCATGGAGGTGTGTGGGCCAAGGGTACACAGGCCTGTTCACCTAAGAACAACAGCTTAGCTCCTATAGGGCAGCACCCCTAAAACTGAAGATAGGGGCCAACAGGAAGACCCTTACACACCCAGTGAAGAGCATATTCATTGGTCATTCATTGATCTAAATGACCCGTAAAGCTTTAGTACAGGGTTAAAGCACTTGCCTTGCATGTAGCAGGCCCCAGTATGATCCCCAACACCACACATGGTCCCCTGGTACAGCACGAGGGGTCACTCCTGAGCACAACCAGGAACAGTTGAAGTACCACCAGGGGTGGCCTGAACCATCCCCCACCCCCACATGAAAACAGATTACAGTGGAAAAGGCAGGGGCCGAGTGTATGAGGAGTGTAAGCAGTAGCTCTCAGGGGAGGGGGGGGTGAAACACACACACACACACACACACACACACACACAGAGGACAGGCAGCTTCTTGCAGGGAGGGGCCACCTAAGCCAAGAAAAGTCCGAGGAATTCTTAATGACTAAATTCTCACTCATACCCAATTCTCCAGAAAACCAAGAGTCTAAATTAAAGAGAGGTGGGTGTGGTCAGTGAGCTGCCCTTGGCCACACCAGTCCGGTGCTCATCTCTGGTTCCAGCTCATCCTTCCCAGAATCTCTCAGCAACACACACACACACACACACACACACACACACACACACACACACACACACACACACACTTCCCCATTCCTGCCTCTTCCTTCTCAGAATCTCTCTGCGAACAGCAAACACTATCTCAGGCAGCTTTCTGACAGCAGGGCCCTAGAATTCTCGTCTGAAAGGGTCTCGTCAGTGTGGGGCTGAGCAGAGGAGGGGATCATGGTGCAGCTTCGTGCTGCTGTGGAGGGGACAGCAACCCAGGCTCTATTCCCGGCACCAGAGCGCAGAGTCAGGAGTAGCTCTGGCTCTGATGATGCTGCTGTTACAGGACAAATCCACAGGCCAGGCAGGTGTGGGGCTGGGGTCACTGGGCCCAGGGGTCGAGACACAGGACCCAGGGGTGGGAGAACAGAAACCCACAGTCCAGGCACAGGAGGAGGGGCCTTACCTTCGGCTCCGATGGATACCAGCTTGACGCCCTTGCTGGCGATGAAGTCCAGGGCCTTGTTCACGTTGGAGATCTTGTGCACCCGCATCTTGCCCCTCTCTGGCTTGGCCAAGCGCTCACCTATGCAGAGGGAAGAGAGGGGAAAGGGAGGCCCGGATTATTACCCGGGGGTGGTGGCCGCTTGCCCAAACCCTCACCCAGACCCGCCTGAGTGCCACATGCAGGGCAAGCCCCTGGAGGCCCCCTCCACTCTCCTTCCCTCTCAGTGCTGACCTCCTGAGGCTACAGGAAGCCCTGAAGGTGTGTCGGGGAGCCTGGGTGGGAGCTAGGGATAAGGGGTGCATCAGGAAGAAGGAAAGAAGGGTTCTCGAGTTGCTTGGGAGGTGCTTGGGGGCATTCACCTGTGGGGGTCAGGAGAGGGGCTGCCTGGGGACCCCGCCAAGGCCTTTGTCTGCGAGAGTAAACACAGGTGTGCTTGTCTCCTGGCTTCTGAACCTGGTAAACCCCCAGGAAACATACACCAATCCATGCACCAGAAGGGATGGACACTCCAATGGGCCCCGGCAGGGTCTGCCCGCCTCAACCCCCCATCGACAAACCCTAGTCTCCACCAACACAGTGCAGGGAGCCCTCCGCGCCCTTGGCTCCAAGTCAAAGCCCCCACTCCATGGGCCACCCCAGCTTCCATGAGGGAGTTTCTGTGGCTCAGGGTTCAGGGCCAGAAGCTCAGGGAAATGCGTTGACATTCTCCAAACACCCACTGGAAAATGTCTCCGGGAAGGGACCATCCTGGGACCTCCTCAAAGATGCAGAAAGTCTCTCCTTTGTGTGGTGCGTGACACGCATACTCAAACCCAGATGGGACGCCGTAGTGGTCAGTCCCTCCTGCACCCTCCAGGGCTGAGAACCACCACTCCCAGCCTCCCCATCCGTATCTGCCAGGGTGAGAGGGGAGGAGGAGCAGCACCCGGAGGCGCTCTGCACCCCAAGCTTCAGGGAAAGAACAGCCTTCCCGCCTGTGCTGGGACGAGCTGGGGATTTCACGAGCTCAGACTCCAGCAAGCACCCCGCATCCGAGCACTAAAATGCCCCAGCTGCTCCTCCCCACTGGACAGAGGGAAGGACACACACACACACACACACATGCACACACACGCGCACGCGTGCTACACACATGAAGCACAAGGCACACACACATACATGGCACATAGCACATACATAAGAACAGGTATAGACACATGGCACACAGCACACACTCAGTACACACATACACACTGAACACATACATGTAAAACAGACTGAGCACAGGACACTCATGTACATACGACACACAGCACACATGGCACATAGCGCATGCATGCACACAGTGCACACATGGCCCAAACATGCCTATGACACATATATAGCACACACATAAACACAGAGAACACATGTACATATATGACACACATATACACACAGCACACATGATGCATGCATACACAGAACAAATGCACGCATACACGCAGAACATATGTATACATACAACATATATAGCACACATACAGAACACATGTACACATAGGACATGCACATACACACAGCACACATGACACACACATATACACACAGCACACATGGGACATACACCAAACACATATACACAGCACACATGGTACACATATATACACACATGGCACAGGTGGCATAGACAGCACACACATATGCACACGTGGCACAGAGCACACACAGAGCACAAACAGGGCACACACATGAATCATGACACAAACATACAACACCCAGCACACACACACACTTACCTGCCACACATGCACACAACACTCATGCACACGGTGCACAGACATGGCACAGATGACACAAACATACACCCAACACATGTGTGACACAGCCTATGCACACATACACACATGCACACATATACACCCACTGGCGCAAGCCCCATCAGAGTGGGATGCCCATGGGAGGAGGCTCAGGTCATGCTTCTTAGGCTGCTGAGCTGGGGGCACCCGCCCGCCTCCCCCACTGCACCCCAAGGCTCTGGCTGAGGAAGTGCGGGTGCCGAGGGGGACCCAGATGCCGCTGAGCAGTCCTGCTGCTGTCCCAGGCTGCTCCCTTCTCTCTCTGACAGCCCAATGCCCCAGGGAGGAGGCCAAGGCAATGTCTGGGCGACCCCTGTCCCCCCACCTGTCCTCCAAAGAGAAGGATCTTTGGAACAGCCAGTAGTGTTTGATTGCCTTGCATGTGGCCCACCCAAGTCCAATCCCTGGCATTCCATATGGTGGCCCGAGCCCAGCAGGGGTGATTCCTGAGTTCAGAGCAGGGAGTAAGCCCTGAGCACTGTCAGGTATCCAAACACAAACAAAAACAGAGACACGCCTGCTCACAGACAGGGACGAGGCCCTGGGTTGCAGGTGGCCAGCATAGCCATCCCTTTTTTCATGTTCACGCTGTAAAAAGTCTGTGATCGTGCTGTGTGTCACAGACATGGAGACAGTTCAGAGCACGGGGATGGAGATGGGACAGCCCTGGGCCCCCAAGGAATGCAGCCCAGAGTGGGGAAGGAGGGAGGGAGAACGCACCCCAGCGATCACCCAGCTAGATCACCCAGCCACGGGGACTGATGGAGGCGGAATGCTGCGAGGGCACAGGGCCAATCATGGGGACCTGGGGGGGTCTGTAGGCCTGGGAATCATGCCCAGGAGTTCTGCCTCATTTAGACTCGGGGGGCAGTGCAGTGGGGAAGAACCCCCCCCACAATTTAAAGGAAAGCGGGAAGGCAGTTCTGGTAAACCTAAACCAAGAATTCACACCTGGGCTAGAAATATCACCTTTGGATGGACACCTAAAGAACTAAAAGTGGGATTTAACCGACACGGGCACACCTCACTTTATCACGCCCTGCTTGCGCGTATTTGGAGAAAGGGTCTTGTTACAAATATCTCACAGCAGCCAGGCTGCAAGTGGGGAGTGGGGAGGTGGAGTGGGCTAGGGTGGAGTAGGGTGGGTTCCCTTCCCAGGCAGGCAGACAGGCACACCTGCTTCCTGTCTCCACGTGCATTTCACCTCGGAAGGGGTGACGTGCTTCTGGACTGAATGCGAAGGTCTATCTAATGGGCTGGACAAGGGAACTGCCAGACAAGCTTGCAGGAACAGCTTTCTGTGTGTTGGGACACCCCCATCCCTGTGAGTGGCTTTACGGCAGCCTGGAGCCCACTGTCCTGTGCATTTCTCTGTGGATATCCACAGCAGCTCAGACAAAGCAGGGCCCAGCTGAAGAATCCTTCCAGGGGGAAGTGGACTCACAAGACACAGGGTGACAGCTGCGACAGACCCTCACGCAGACAGGGAAGGGGGTTCTGACATGGGTGAGCACAGGGACAACATTTCTGCTCTGGGAGGAGGGGGTCCTCATCTGGTTTTGCACTCAGGAATCACTCCTGGCGGTGCTCAGAGGACCCTATGGGATGCCAGGGATGGAACCCGGGTAAGCCACATGCAAGGTAAATGCCCAACCCGCTGTACTATCACTCTGGTGCCTCTGAGGACACTTCACTCAAGGGAGTTAGAGCATCACAGAAAGCACAGAGATGGATGGCTCGTCGCAGACTCAGTCACGATGACAGACCAGGAGAACGAGGGGTTCCCAGGGGTTCCCAGGTGGGAGGGGATGAGGGGAGCTGGTGTTTAACAGGGAGAAAGTTTCAGCAAGGGAAGGTGAAAAGGTTCCAAGGGCGGATGAACAGGGCTTCATGATGTAAATGATGGACTTAATGCCCCTGAGCTTAATGCCCCAAGCACTCAAAATGATCCATTTATTATATTTAGCTTTTAACAGAAGCCACAACCAGGGGTGCCTGGGGGAGGTCAGGGCCTCTCTCAATTCAGCCCAGGCGAGCCTGTGGGGTGGTATGTGGGCTGGGGCCGGGGCGTGGAGCATGGATTCAGGAGGGTTCAGGGACCACCAGGGCTGCTCTCAATTTACGTGTGCTTGTGGAGTCGGGGGGACACGCAGTGCTGGGGCTCAAGCATGCCGGGCCCCTTTAGCTCTCTCCCCAGCCCCAGGTAGTTGTATTTTGTGTACTATATTCACACACACACACACACACACACACACAATTTCACCTGTAAGAAAAAATATTCTCGGGGCTGGAGAGATAGCATAGCGGGTAGGGCGTTTGCCTTGCATGCGGCTGACCCGGGTTCAATTCCCAGCATCCCATATGGTCCCCTGAGCACCGCCAGGAGTTAACTCCTGAGTGCAGAGCCAGGAGTAACCCCTGTGCATCGCTGGGTATGACCCAAAAAGCAAAAAAAAAAAAATTCTCAAGTCTTGGCTATAGAGCAGGGTGTACACCTTCAGAGCACAGCATGGGTGTAAGGGCCCCGGTTTCATCTCTAGCACCCCTTCACCCCCAAAAGGCATTGGTTTAACAACAACAAAAACAACATAAAGGCAGCAGCCACGGCTCAAGCAAGAGCAGAGAGTCTCGGGAAGATGAAGGGAGGACTGTGAGTAAAGGTGGAGGAGGAAGAGGTGACAAGCCAGCAGGTGCCAGCCCCAAGGAGCCCGGAAGCTCTATTCCAGAACACGGGCAGCGGCTCAAGCCCCAGGGAGGCAGGAGCAGTGGCACCATATTTGGGCTGCTGGATGGACGCTCTGGCTCTGCGTGTGTGTGTGTGTGTGTGTGTGTGTGTGTAGTAGGGGGACTGGAGGCAGCCCCATGCTGGGCTGGAGGTCCAGGAGGAAGCAGAGAAGGAGGAAGCAGAAGGGGTCTAGGGGAAGGGCAGGGGCTGGGGAGAGAGCACAGCAAGCGGGTAGGGCATTTGCCTTGCACACGGCCGAGCCGGGTTCGATTCCCAGCATCCCAGATGGTCCCTTGAGCACTGCCAGGAGTAATTCCTGAGTGCATGAGCCAGGAGTAACCCCTGTGCATCGCCAGGTGTGACCCGAAAAGCAAAAAAATAAAAGGGGGGAAGGGCAGGGCTGACGAGGAGCAAGGGTCAGGCACGGGAGCAGCTAAAGGTGGCTGGAAGAAACAGCAGTTATGTCCTGGCAAGGGCTGGCAGAGGTGAGCACGTGGGGGACATGCTGGAGGACACAGAGGGGGGGCACCCAGCTGGAGAGGCCCAGGGAGCGCAGAATGCAAGAGCAGATGCAGGAGCAGGTGGAAGGCAGAGTAGATAAGCCCGGGAGTATATAAGTCCGATAATAAGCCGGGACCCAGGGGCATTCGAGTGTCAGGGAGCAATGTCAGCTCAGGCTTTCCCTCAAAGCTCAGCACTGAACCTTGGGGCTCACCCTTCGAAAGATGGGTGGAAAGATGTTGGCAGGAAAGCAGAGAGACACATCAGGAGAATCCGTTCCTTCCTCCCCATATCTGGAAATCCAACACCAAGGTGAGGGTGGGGGTGGGGGATGGGGGTGGGGGCCTGGATCACGTGGACAGAGGCTGGGTAGCTGTGGCAGAGGAGCCAGAGTTTGGAGAAGGAGGCATGGAGGAGACAATCCCGACCACGGAATCCAGCAGCCAGCAGGAGACAGGCGCGCCGAGACCCGCCTTCCGACCCTGCCTTTTTGCAGAGCGGCCAAAGGCCAGCCGCAGGGTGTTGTCTGAGAACAGAGCCCGCCAGGGCGGTGCCAGGATGGAGGTTCCTCATCTGAGGTTGCACATGTCACCCTTACTTCTTTCAAGAGATGCACAGCTCGCTGTGGTGAGGGCAGAGCAGAAGCGAGGACCGGTGGAGGGGGGACAGAGGGAGGCTCTGCACGCCCAGCGCTTACCTGAGATGACCTCCAGCAGCAGCATGAGTTTCAGACCATCCCGGAAGTCCTCCTCGATGTTCTCGATCTGTGTCCCGGCCTTGCGGAGGTGGGAGTTGCACCAGGCTGTGAACGTCTGTGCCAAGGAGAAAAGAGAGGGCGGTCAGGCTCCTGCACGACCTGTGGACTTTCACAGGGGGCTCCGTAGGGCCCCAGGACCAGGGTGATTCTTTTATCAGCCACCATGAATGGCACCAGCAGGACACACAGGGACAGTGGCCTCTGGGGATATCCCCTCTGGACCCCCCCTCCCGACGGACCTCCTTCCAAAGCCACTGTCCCCACACACTCTCAGAACTGACCTCCTCACAGTTTTAAGGACAAAGACCCCCCCTGAAGCAACGCATTAAGCGTGATGAACATCACAGGGCAAATGCATTCTATTCAACCCCTGTCTACTTGGCAACTAGCTAAGGGAGAACAGATTCATCAATTGGGTCAGGGCATCTAATCCAGAAGCATTGTGTTAGGATCAGGGGGATGGCAACTAATCCAACGTGTCTGTGTTTGGGGAGGCACTGTAAGCTACAAATACCTGTAAGAGAGAGTGACAATATGGAGACCGTGAAAGGCCATCACCACTGGGGACTGTAAGCATGCTTTAAGAGCGGAAACCTTGAATGAAGCCCTTGACCAGACAGACAGGCCTCAACCAAGCTGTAGAGGCAAACAGCTCCACCTGGCGGCCCAAATGAGGAACGGGGCAACGCGACAAAGTCCAGAACCAAAGCATGGGCCCAAGGCTTTCCCTTTAACTTGACAAGGCCTGAAGCTCTGGCCAACTCCTTACAGCTGTATTGCCCCACGGGACAGAAGTGCTTCATACTCAGCCCTGGAGTCCCTCAGAAACTCCAGGCTGCTCTGCACCCTGGGGCTCCAGGTCCCTGTTGCCGCCCCTCTCCCATTCCTCCATAGCAGGACATAGCCTCTCCCTTCCCACCTGCCCTCGGCGCTGCTGAGGGGTGATCTGACAGTGGCAGCCACCCTTTCTAGAAACCTCTGTGCCTCCCAAAGGGTCACCAGACTCCTGACCCTCACCCCACTTCCTCTGGCCCTGGGGAACTCCGAAGGGAAGTGGCAACGAATGGGCAGGGGGTAGGGAGAAAGACCTGGCCATCAGGGCCGAGAAGCACGGGTTGGATTACAGCAAGCGGGAGCCTTGCCTAAGTACAGTCGGCACGAGTGGGAAGGAGCGGGAGGTGCTACGATACTCTCCAACTTTGAGCCTCATCTGGAAAGTGGCTAGGAACTTATATTTAGGACTGGTGGGGGAAGGTGCTAGAACGACACCTGGCTGTGTCCAGGGTGCTTACTCCTGACTCTGTGCTCAGGGATCACTCCTGGTGGTGCTTAAGAGGCCCCGCTGTGGGGCCAGGGATTGAATGTCGGTCAGCTGTGTGCAAAGCAAGTGCCTTAACCCCCTGTACTTTCTCTCTGGCCCCGTCACTGGACACTCACCGGCACAGAAGACTCCTCTCCTCCCCCCCACCACACATCCCCTCTCCTGCGGCCAGCACTCCCAAGAGACACCAGAGGGCTTGGGGACAGTGAGTTGCGGTAAAACTCCAGCAAGATGGAAGCAGACCATGCAGGCAGGGGACATGCCCAGACTCCTCAGCCCAGAATGTCCCCTGTGCCTTGCTTTGCCAACTAACACTCCTTTTCTAACATCAGGCTAAGCTCTCACCTCCTCCTCCAAGAAGCTCTCCTGAGAGCCACCTGCCAGGCCTACTACGATAGGGGCACAAAGACCACCTCATCCTGTGTCCCTCTGTCACTCCCACCACGGGGCCCTCGCTGAATCATTGCACATGACCACCCCATATGATCCCTTTGAGCCCTGTCAGGAATGATCCCTGGATGCAGGGTCAGGGGTAACCCCTAAGTACTGCCAGCTGTGGCCCCAGACAAAAACCAAACGAACTTGCCCTGTGCTGTGGATATTCTAGCGGCCGGAAAATGGCCGTAAAATGGAACCAGGCAGTGCAGGATGGCAAGCTGAGAGTGTCCTGGGAGCCCCTCCCACACCTGAGGGTAAAGATGGTTTGAAAAGTCTGAGAAAATGATGCCCGCTGGGGTTCCATGTTCTCTCCCAGCTGCCCTCCGTCCTAAGGCTGGTGTTATCACCGGGCACTGGGGTTGGGGGTGGGCTTCATTCTCTACCACCATCCCAATTCCCCCAGCACCTTCCTGGCCCATGGCCAGGGTTCTTCGGGAAACACCAGCACCCCCAGCCCACCCCCTTGACCACAGGGGTGCAGGGGGTGGGGCTGAGATGCAGGAGGAAGAGGTGGCTTGTGGGAAAAAGAGTGCTTGTGTAAGAGGGAAAGTACTGTTGAAAGTGCACCGGCCCGTTTCCTGGGGGTTCAACCAGGTTCAGAGGCCGGGAGACAAGCACACCTGTGTTTGCTCTCGCAGACAAAGGCCTTGGCGGGGCCCCAGGCAGCCCCTCTCCTGGCCCCCACAGGTGAATGCCCCCGAGCACCTCCCAAGCAGCACAGCTGGCAGGAAGGCAGGGCCTGAGCCGGAGGGGGACAGATGAACGGGTTGCTCTGGGCCTGGCCTCCATCCTAGCTCCAACTCCTCAGCCACCAAGGGATCCCCCTCACCCTCAGCTTCCCGAGGGCAAAAATGGAGCCTGTTATGGAGTAGAAATAACAAGAACAAGGAGGAGCCTGCTGTTTCTTCATTTCTTTTTTCTTTTTTTCTTTTTTTTTGCTCTAAGGGCCAACCCCAGCAGTGCTCCCAGCACCGTGCTCCAGGGGCGGAGGGAGTGAGGGTGGGTCTTTGCGGTGCTCAGGGGACCATGCAGTGTTGGAGATCAGACCTGGACCTCCTGCATGCAAATCTGGCGCTTAATCGGCCTGTGAAGCTCTCTCTGACCCGGAGCTCGCCAAAGAGGTTGTGGTCAATAAGGAGAAGGCGGAGACGCACTAGCTCTCCTGTATGGACAGGTCTTGGAGATCTCACTTCTCCGTGCTCCCAGCCCACATCCTCCTCCCTGTGTCCAGTCAGCAAGCTTGGCCCTAGGTCTGACCATCAAGTGTCACGCTGAGCTTTGAAGGGGCCACACTGTGTGTCCAAGGACTCTTTCTGAACTGGTGCCAATGTTTCAGGAGAGTGACAGTAACTGTGGCAGTGGTGGGTGGTAACAGGGTATGTGCAGAAAGACAAAAGCAGAAGTAGCTTAACCCTTACCGGGGGATGGTCCAGCACCACTCCCACCCCCAACCTCAGTCTCCTGATCTGTGAAATGGGGCCCCAAACCCATTTCCTGGGATCGTGCAGATCCACACAGCAAGTGCTCAACACAATCACCCACTTGTGAGGCACCATACATGACAGCAATTATTAGTTGGATGAGGAGCAGGAAGGTGCAGGGAAGACAATGTGGGGAGAGAGGAGAGGCCCAAAGCGGGAGGTACAGTGTGTCGCCTGCCACAGGCACATGCTCACTGAGAGAAAAGCCCGAGCTGGCCTGATTCTTGGAGAGATCCAGGAAGCGCTTGGAACCACCGGTCTTGGGATATATTTATGGGTTCAATTACACTGAGTCAGACGCTGACTGTCCAAGCAGCACGTGGCTCAGTCTTTGGGCCCGAACATCCTCAGGCTATGCAGCTGGTCCTAAGTATTTCCAGGAGTGACTGTGGGGGACTCTGAACAACTGCTAGGGTGTCCCCCCTCCCCCACCCTTAGTAAATAAGACATCCCATAAGCCCTCCTCTCTCTCTCTCACACATGTACACACACACACACACACACACACACACACATACACACAAATAAAGGGAAACAAATGGGTAAATCTGAGTTAGGAATCCTAGAATTGGGGCTGGAGAGATGGTACAGTGGGAAAGGAACTTGGCTTGCATGATGCCAACTTGAAGTTTAACACTTGGCACCTCATATGGTCTCCTGAGCCCACCAGCAGTGATCTCCGAGCACAGAGCCAGGAGTAAGCTCTGAGCATAGCTGAGTGTGACCCAAAACAATGACAACAACAACATCAACAAAAGCCTCCTACTCTTGGGGGTCTGAAATGGGAAAATAGGAAATATTTTTTAATTTCCTAACAAAAACTTAGACACACAGTTAAAACAAGCCTGGCGGTCAGCATCCTAACAGACCACCCTGTCAGCGGCCACCTGGGGACTGGGAGCAGGGACTTCCTGTGACTGAACATGGGGCTCCCCTCACCTGAGCTTGGTCAGTGACTGTCATAGGGATATCAGGCGGGAACACTCCCACACACGCAGACAGCTATCCCGATCGAGGCCAACGTTGGCTGCATGAAGCTTCAGCTCTTTTCCCACCGGGCATATGCTGCTGAGGTTAATGCTTCCTAGAAAGCAGGCTGATCCATGACCATGCCGGGGGAAGGAACTTGCCAAAGGGAAGGGAAATGGACAGAAGAAACAAGAAAAAAACCCTCCTCCAGTGCAGGAAATGCTCGCCCAGGTCAAGCATGCAAAAGAAAGGAGGCTGTGGGCATGAGGACAGTCTGGCCACCAGGAATTGCAGGAGAACATTACAATTAGCCCTGCAAAAAAGACTCATAAAATATGAGTCAAGGTCCAGGGGGAGAGAGAGAGAAAGAGAGAGAGAGAGAGAGAGAGAGAGAGATAACAGTGGGTAAGGCACCTGCCTCGCACACTAACCCCTGGACAATCCCCGGCCCCTTACATGTTTCCTTCTCCCCACCAAGCCCCACTAGAAGTGATCCCTAAACAGCACCAGGACCAGGAGTAAGCCCAGAGCACAGCTGGGAATAACACCAAATCCAAACATAAAGATATTTGTCAAGTTATGATTCCACCATCTACTGGACAGATATATATATATATACATATATATATGTCTTTTTGAGTCACACCCAGCAATACTCAGGAGTTACTCCTGGCTCTACTCTACACTCAGGAATTACCCCTGGCAGTGCTGGGGGGGACCATGTGGGATGCTGGGAATCAAGCCTGGGTTGGCCGCATGCAAGGCAAAAATGTCCTACCCGCTGTGCTACCGCTCTGGCCCATCTACTAGACAGAATACTACATGACCAAAAAAATGGCTTCTGCC